CTACTAGGTTGAGCAACATTGTTGCTTGTTGCAGGCAGCCTCAACAAGGAGCTCAGCACAGAACTATCTAGTCAGGTTTTTTTGTGCCCGAAATGACTTACAGGAGAAATCATCTGGACTACAGAATTACTCATGGGCTCCGGACACAGAATTGGTATTTTTCAGTATTCAGCTTTTCTGAGAACCCAGTTTCACAGATACTGCTGTCTGTGTCATGCACTCCTGTCCTCAGGACTTGGTAGACTGCCCACTTACAGCTCACTCTTTGAAGAACAAGCTTCCTTTTCTTGTGCCACCAGTGACACCTCTAATAAAGTAAGGAATTAAAAAAAAAACAAACAATTGCTTCCTATAACTCTTGTAATTTCCCTTTTGGCAAGTCCTTTAATTAGTTGTTTAAACTTGTAAGTGATTGCACAAAACAGATGTAAAATACTGAGGATGAATATGCTATGAGCTCTACCAAATATTTAAAAGAAAAAAGTCTAAGCCTGCACCTCTCTCACTACCACCAAACTGCTTACCTGGAGAAGACCATGCAAAACATTTCCTTTATCAATAACAAATATATTTGCTGTTTTGCATTACATGTGGTGTTGGTATTTAGTGTACCATTGTTCTCTAGTCTACCATGAGCTCTCTTTTTGTCTCTGAGCTGTCTCTCTTTCTGAATAAATGAATCTTATTTCAGACACCTACACATTTCCAGTGTCTGAGCAACAACAGAGACATGTCATATCACTACCTGGTCACACATACAGTTAAAGAGCACATTGGTGTACACTGTTGACTGCATTTCTCATCAGCGCTCAACAGAAACCTAGCTCCAGTTTGCAGACATTCAGAATTTGTTTCTCCCCTTTTCTGAAGGATCCAGACTGACAGACAGCCCTGAGTCTATCTGCTGAACAGGTGACATGCAATAGGGAGGTCCAGCTGCCCAGCCCAGGCAGATCAGCTTTCATTCATAGAGCTGCTCCATCAATAAGGTTCCCATGTCCTTTGAACCTCTGTGGTGGACACTGCGCTTTGTGTCAGGAATTACATGGCTGCTTCTCTAACAAAGACTTTACCTTCAGTAGATAAAAAATAACCAAGTGGTTATTTTTATCCTCACCCCAGTGAGAGATGAGGCAACAGCCACACCCCTGAGCTGCTTCTGGCAATCATTACATGGTCACAAGCACCTTTAGAATTTCAGCAGTTAATTCCCTCGCAGCAGTTAACCTGTGTTGCATTATACTGCTCCTCTTACTTCCAAAGACACAACTTAGAAACACTTACCTGAAGAGAGGTCGTAGAGAGCTGTGACAGATGTAATGAACTGGCAGCAGAAGCGAGGACTGGCACTGAATATCTGCTTCAGTGTCTGGATGGACCCTGGCACCAAGTTGCAGTAGTCATCGACCAAGGCTCGAGCCAGCCTCACACAGTACACTGCAGGGGTTCGCTGTAGCAGTGTAGCACGTGAGGAAAAGCAGGTTAAACCCAGCCACAGAAACTCCTATAGAGCCAGCTTCAAAGTTTGTGTTGCCTATACACTGTGCCTGCCCCCATCACCCAGCCTCTCTGCTGCTTCAACACCTGTGTTTTCAGTTTCCCAAAATTCAATAGTGCTTTCTCTTTCTGCATATAAAATATTCACTCAGAAATAAAATTACTGTTTCACAGTACTAAATAGGTGATATTTCATGTTTACAGCATCTGTAGTTTAAAATTAAAACCTTTTACATCCGTATTTTTACTTAGATTGAGATTTTCCTTACTACTTCAGCAACAGTTCTATAGTTCAACTAGTTCAGTAACCTCTCAGCTGTGTTTGACATTTTTAATGTGGAAAAAATTCTGTGCAATCCTCATGTCACTTAAGAGCTGGGATCTGCAAAAAGCTACACCTTCTTCTGCTATCCAGGTTACATCCCCTCCTCCCCTACACCACAGCTCTCCAAGTGGGAAAAGAGGGAGCCCACAGAAACAGTATTGCTTTGCCCTCTCCCACCCTTCCCTCCTAGCACAGCCTTTCTGCTCTTACCCTTCTGTAAAACAGGTGACTTCTGCTTTTCCCACTAAGGCAGCAGCAGCAGCAAAGATGCTGCTTCCCAAAGTCTACAGTGGTGAATCTCAATGGGCAAGGGGAAGACAAAGGAGAGCCCTAACATACTCTATTCATGGAAGCCAGACATGGGTATTTTGTGGCCAAATCTCAAGCCAGACACAGGTATTTTGTGCCTCTTCTGCCATGCACAACCTTGCACATCAGGCACAGCTTACTTCCTAAACTGTAGAGTTGGCTTCTTTTGGCAATGTGACCATGAACTGCCATGGTTTTGTTCCCTGTGTTGGCTGAACCTTCCACTGACCCCTTTCAACAGGCAGGGCTTGAGGGGGAGGAAATCAATAAAACCTTCACTGACAGTAAAAATAACAGCAAATTTTCTTCTGCCAGTGCACACAGAAGTGGTTTAGCAGAAGTTCTCCCTTATGCTGGAACAGAGGAATGGACAGAAGCACAGACACAGGGAGAACATAGCTGTAGCAGACAGCTGTTGTTATATCAGCTTAAGCTGCCACAGGAGCAGCAGCTGACTGCAACCAGCTGCCACCAACGATTAGGTGAGACTGCCCTCGCTCACCCATTGTGGCACTTCCCCCCTGCTCCTTCCCCAAGATTGCCCTGCCTGCACAGGAGCTGTACCTGCAGCCAGAAGGCAGCACACTCCAGAACAGGAACCCTGCACACGGCCACTGCCATGGAAACCAGCTTTCCTAGCAAAGCCATCCTGCTGTCATCTGCTTTGTTTCCTTGAGGGCTGAAGAGCGATGAGAAAATGATCTGCCGGACTGAATCCTTGGTTTGCTCTTGGAAATAATTGCACATGATCTCAAGGAGCTGAAGTTCCTGAAGTGAATTCAGTCTCTGAAAGAAGACAAAAGCAAAACTGCAAAATACACTGGGGCTCTTGAAGAACCAAGAGGTGAAAAGGCAGGAAGAGTAAAGAGTTACAGCTTCCCTCAAGAGTCAGAAACTCAACCTTTATGCACAGCACACATGCTCAAACTTCCTGAACCACCACTGCATATACTTTGTTATAGTGAAATGCTCTAGGTCATATCTGAATACCTGGATAACCAAGACTGGCTCTTGCTGCACCTGCAAGTGCTGCCCTGAACTGAGATATGAGACCGAGAGCAATACAGGGGTGAAATCTATTTCCTTTCTCTGCAAATAACAGCACTAAGGGTGTTGCTGGGCAGCTGGGGGGGGGGGGGGGGCAGGGAGGGTGTCACAGCTGGGCCCAGCAGCCCTCCAGGCCCATGCACCCCATCATTCACCAGCAGCTGTGGTTTCTGGTCACTGCTGTCTGGGAAGACCCAGCTTCATCCCACAGCAGCCACCTAAAACCTCTTTTAGGGCCCAGCTGCAACGCTGTGAACCTGCAGATAGCTCCCAAGGGCCTCGAGGTGCTCCGTACCTCCCCTCCCTCGGGCCCTGTCTGGAGTCCTGTCCAGTCCATTGGGGCCTTGCCAGCCAGTTCTCTCCTGGCCAAAACCCCTCCGTCACCAGCACCCCAGGAACCCTCCTGATGCCTCGGTCCCCAGCAGCAGCCACCCCCCAGGGACCTCATCCTGTCCCCATAAGGCCTCAGGCTCCAGGAGCAGCGCCCCCAGGGCTTCCGAGCAACTGGGGCCTCGGCCTCCACACCCGCTCCTCGGGGCTGCGTCCGGGTGCCGTTGCCTGGCCCCATGCCGTCAGCCCCAGGGCCTGCCCGGCTTCCTGCGGGCCTCGGCCCCCACTCCCCCCGGCCCCTGTCCGGACGCTCGGGGCCTCGCTCGCCCCCCATGCCGAGGCCGGGGCCCACCTTGGGCGGCGCGCTGCGCTCCTTGGGGACCTGGAAGAGGAACTCCTCCAGGAGCTCGGAGGGGCCCTTGTCGACCAGAGGCAGCGGGGCGCTCTGCAGCTGGCTGCTGAAGTAGATGTCCAGATGGTACAGCACCTCCTTGGCGGCGCTCAGCGCATCCCGCCGCAGCAGCGAGTGCCGAATGTCGCTCATGGCTCAGGACGGACCCCACCGGGCCCCTATGGACCCCTCTGCAGTCCTGCAGCGCGGCCTCCCAGCAGCGGAGGCGCAGGGCGGGCGGGCGCTACGGCGGCCCCACATGGACAAAACGGGGCAACGCGCGCTCGCCGCCGGCAGCGCCCCCTGGCGGGCTTGCCCTAAGGGGGGGTCTTGGGCCGCGGTGCAGGGGGGTCCAGCCCTGAGGGTCTCTTAGCCCCGGGCACGGGGGGGGTCGCTGCAGGGCCCCGACATCCCCTAAGGATCACCCGGCACGGCCCCTCTGGGAACGCGGCAGCTGCGCTCAGAGGCCGGGCATCCGGCCAAGGCCGCTGGGGCAGGGCTGGGTGAGCTGCGGGAGTGTGCGGGGTGCGGGGCAGCACCCCGGGACCGGGCCTGACCCCGGTGGGCTCCTGGGTCAGGCACCGCGACAGGACCCGCTGTTACCGGGGCTCGCAGCTCCACACCACAGCACCAGGGCCATGGTGGGATGCACTGCCTGTGCTCAGTCCCAGCGCCAGCTCCCTCAGATCAGCTTGTTGGCAATGCGGGAACGGTTGGTGTTGGTTAAATAAACACTTTTCAAGGTAAATCCTAGCTGGTGACGAGCGAGAGCTGCCCATACCCCATAGTGGAGAGCTGGTGATCCCCACGAGTGGTCTCGGGGGTTCACTTGCACCTCGCAGATCCCCTGTCGGTGTCTGTGGGTTCAGGCACGCTCTCAGCCCTACCTGTGGCAGACGGTGCTGGCACTGGTTTGAACTGGTTGACTTTTCACTGAGCAGATCTTTGTTTCCATGGGAAATGCCATATGGAGCCTGCGGCCTCATGCTCGCGGGCAGAGGAGCACTTGGCAAGGGGAGCAGGTCCCTCCCCATAAATGCAGGTGCAGATCTTTCCTCTTGCAGAGACCTTGCACAGCACCAAAGGTACGTCCCGCTCCCCGCTCCCATCGCCTTCTGCAGCTCAGCTTAGTTTTGCTATGACTGCTGGGGCTGAGCCCGGGCACAGCTCACGAGCATCACCCAGGATGGATACGCCCCTCTATAGGTGCCTCTGCCAGGGAGGCTGCTGCACAACCTGGGAGGAGGGAGGGTCTGCGAGACTTTGGGCGCTTTTTGCCATGACCAAATCACAGCATTACTAAATCATGGCATTACCGAATCACTGTGTTAGCAACGGGAGGGACTGTGGCGTTAGAGGTGCCAGCGCTTGCAGCCATAGCAAGGATACAGGTGGGGAAAGGAGAGTATTTAATTAGAGCAGAAGAAAAAGTGAACCTGGAGGCAGCAAACCCTTCCTCATGTTGGGTGTCAGGTGTGCTGAAAGCTGGGGTGTTTGCTGGTCCTCCCAGCCCATCTGACTGGGGCACCCTGCAGGATCAGGCACTCAGGGCACCTGAGCTGGGCTCAGATCCCATCCACTGGTGAAATATTACCCGAGGGAGCCAAGCGCCACAGGAAATACTTCCCAAACACCTTTCCTGGCGGGTGGGAGCTGCTGCGCTGCTCTCCAGGGAGTCTTGGAGACTCCAGCCTGGGTGAGGATGGGGCAGGGCAGAGCTGGGGGGCAGAACACCCCAGTGAGGGTGCTCTGGGCAGGGAAGGAAGTGGGGAGGTGTGTCAGGGTTGGGGGGGATCCATCCCTAGCTTATGTAGGGTCATTTGGGGCACAGACCCTGGGGAGGCATGGGAGAGGGACAAGCCAAGGGACCTTGGTGTCCGCGACTGCTGCTGGGGCACATCCGAGGCCAGGAGGGGCATCCAGGTGGATGAGGAACTGCTCTGTGTCACCATGAAATGGCGTTTGCTCCTTTGCCAGTGAGTTATCCGCTCTGGCCTCCCTCCAGGAGCAACAGACAGCATGAGGCCCCGTGTGAGGCAGGAGCACAGTGGCGGGACAGGGATGCACCATCCCAGGGTCCTGGTGTTCCCAGTGAAATCAGTATGGCCAGGTGGGAATGCCCTGGCCACCCCCATCATCTGTGCCAAATCCCCATCCTAGCCAGGAGGGCTGCCACTCTGCCATCTGCACATGGGATGGCAGCCTCGAAGCAGGTGCTGTCACTGCTGGTTGCAGCTCTCCTGCTGCACATGGCCACCATGCTGAAGATCAGCGCTTTCAACATCAAGGCATTTGGGGACAGCAAGATGTCCAACCAGACCATCGCAGATATCATCGTCTCTGTGAGTGCTGGGGGGAGAGGAGCAGCTCTGGCTGCTCTCTGGTCTCTGCAATGCAGCCAGCTTGGGACAGTTGGACACCAGCTTTCTACAAGCATCCCTCCATCCATCCATCCATCCATCCATCCATCCATCCATCCATCCACCCACCCACGCATCCATCCTTCCATCCACCCATCCATCCATCCACCCACCCATCCACCCATTCACTCATCCACCCATCCACTCATCCATCCATCCAAGCCTCCATTTATCCACCCATTTGTTCTTCCTCCATCACCATCTCCAACCTTGGGCTATCTTCACTCTTGCCAGTCCCCATCCAAGGATGGGTGATGCTTGATGCTGCTCAGTTCCTCACTCAGAGCAGCCTGCAAGTGAGAAGCTGCTGGGGTGGTGGGTGGTAGGTAGATGTGTGTTAGAGGGCATTGTGTCACCCCTGGGTTCCTCCAAGCCAGAGGATGCTGGCAGAGGAGCTCCCTCCCTGGCTCTGGGCTCCCTCCTGCCCTCCTGTTGCCAGCCTGGGAGGCTTCACAGCCCAGCCCAGACACCCATGGGTGCCCCAGGAGCAGCTCCCAGCCAGGGGCGGGCAGCTCTGATTTGTCCCCCCAGATCCTGTCTGGATATGACATCACCCTGGTGCAGGAGGTCCGGGATGCTGACTTGAGTGCTGTGAAGAAACTCACTGATCAGCTCAACAGGTGCCCCCAATGGCACAGGGCGAGGGGTCCCTGCAAAGGGGATGCTGGGGCAGATCCCAGATGGAGCCTTGCCGTGCCAGGGCCCCTCTGTCTCAGCCAGAGAGAGCCCAATGGGTGCTGAGGGGCACCAGGAGCCTCCTCTCACTCTCTCTGCACCTTACTCCCAGCATGTCCCTGCACCCATACAGCTTTTTGGATAGCATTCCCCTGGGCCGGACCAGCTACAAGGAGCAGTATGTCTTCATCTACAGGTAAGGGATGCTCCTGGGTCCAGCGTCCCCTGTGTCACTTGCTGTTCTCGCCAGTGGCCCCCAAAGGGTAGTGGGTACGTTTGGGGGCCCCAGCTGCAGCAGGAGTGGTGCTGGGGGCTGCTCTGCTCTCCCCCTCAGGTCGGACATGGTCTCAGTGCTGGAAAGCTACTACTACAATGACAGCTGCGGCTCCGGTGGAACCAATGCCTTCAGCAGGGACCCATTCATTGTGAAGTTCTCCTCACCCACAACACGTGAGCAGAGCCAGTGCTGGGGCTGCCTTGACCTGGCACAGGGTCCCCTCTGCGCAGGGCTGATGCCAGGCAGGGAGGTTGCACCCTGGAGCACAGCTCAGAGGCTCCACCAGGGTCCTTCACTGCAGCAGGGCCTTCTCCCAACCATGGGTGCCCAGGGGTCCTGGGTACCTGCCCAGCATGGCCAGCACTGCCTGCTGTTTCTCACCATGCACCATCTCCCATCACCGTCATCTCCCACCGTGTGTTCTCTCCAGTTGTGTACCATCTCACATCTCCAGCTGTTTCCCATCTTGTCCCACATCCCATCACCTGCTACCTCCCATCTTGTGCTATATCCCACCATCTGCTTCCTGCACTTCGGTGTCATCTCCCATCATGTACCATTCCCCATTGCTTGCCATGCCCCATCACCTGCCATCCCCATCACATGCCATCTCTCATCATGTCCCATCTCCCACCTTATGGAATGTCTTACCCGGTACCATCACTTCCACCTCCCAAGAACCTCCCAAGAATGCACACACTCCCCCATCTCTCTTCCACCTCCATCTCCTTCCCAAACCCACAGTGTCCTGGAAAAACTGATGGGAAACAAGTAGCAAACCCCAAACCATGTGCAGAGGGATGCAACTCCCCACTGGAAATTCCAGCCTGGAGGACAAGCAGACCACGAAAAGCCAATGCACCCTTTCCCTTTGGCAGCTTTTCCCAGCTGGTAGCTGGGGCTTGGCCCTGGGTAGTTCCTGGGGTTCCCACTCCCTTCCCGGGTGCTGCACCCGAGCTGGGGGCTGACAGCCACCTGTCCAGCAGAGGTGGAGGAGTTTGTGATGGTGCCTCTGCACGCCGAGCCCAGCAGAGCAGCAGAAGAGATCAATGCACTCTACGACGTCTATACTGATGTTGTCAACAAGTGGGCAACGAATGTAAGTGGTGGTGGGGAACTCAGCTCCACCCTGGGGCAGCCTGGGGTACAGCCACGACGCATGGACGTGTCCCACAGGACACCCCTCATGACCATCGGAGCGGGTACCACCTCAGCAATGTTCATGCAAGGAACTGCTGGGTGGCTCCACTACCATTACTGGGGGCTTGTCCCCCCATGTGCTGGGGAGGTTTCTTGCCGTCCCTTGATATCTTTGGGAGCATGTGGTGCCCCCTAAGATCCATGGGCAGGGACAGAGCTCACTGCCCCACAGAACATCTTCCTCCTGGGCGACTTCAACGCTGACTGCTCCTACGTGACCAGCGCTCAGTGGCAGTCCATCCACCTGCGCTCCCTCGATGACTGCGAGTGGCTCATCCCTGACAGCGCCGACACCACTGTCAGTGACACCGACTGCGCCTATGACCGGTGGGTGCCGCGGCAGGGGAGGGTGCTGGTGGGGGGGGCTCCAGGCACTAACACCCCCATGATGCCCCAGCAGCATTGTCGCCTGCGGCACCGCGCTGCGCCAGGACATTGAGCCCAGCTCTGCCACTGTCAATGACTTCCAGAAGAATTTCCACCTCCAGAGCAAGGATGTGAGTCTGGGCCAGGCACATAATCCCACTGGCACTTGGATCCAACCTACCTCACCTCCTGGGGGCACGGGTGGGCTCCCTGTTCCCCAGGGTGCAGCCAAGGGTAGCCTGACCCCAACCTCTGCACTGATGCAACCGCCCCCCCAGCTTGAGCATTTTGGGGTATGCTCTGAATTTTGGGGTTGGAGCGTTGGGGTCCCAGCCACCCATGACAGTGGTGAGGGTCTGGACAAGCTCAGCCACCTCTCTGCTTTCCCCACACACAGGCTTTGGCTGTCAGTGACCATTTCCCAGTGGAGGTGACCCTGAAATCCCGCTGAGACCATCCCCATGCTGGCTACCAGGACACCCCAACATGCACCTGCATCCCTGATGGGAGCCCATGCACCGCCAGTGCCAGCCAAGCTGCCTGCTGTATCCACAAGGATGCCCTCAGGGTCCTGTGGGAGTGGGATACTCTCTGTTTCCATTAAAAAAAAAGTCTTTTCCAGCCCTTGCAGCTCTGGAGAGAGTCCTTTCAGGCCTCCCCCCCCCAGCCCCCTGTGCCCATACCCCCTGTCCCCCTGCCAGGGGCAGCCCCACTGGAGCTGGAACCAGGGTGTTCCCTAGGTTTGGGGGTCCCCTCCTGCCACTGAGAGAGCCAGACCCACAGGGTGACAAGTTCTGAGCTGCTGGCAGCAAGGCCAGAGACACCAGGAAGGGTTTGAGAGTCTCTGGGCAGGATGTGAGCCTCTTGCCGGGATGCAGGATGCTCTTCCGACAGCTTGCAGAGCCTCATCCCGCTGGAACCTGCCTGGATGTGGGGTGGCTGACAGGGTGCTGACAGCAAGGGTGGGGGGAAGTAGAAGGCATGAGTCAGTTCCCAGGGGGTTTGGTGCCTCCTGGGGGGTTTCGGTGCCGGCACAGTGTTGAGGGACACCAAACTCATCCTGTGACTGGGTGTGAGGGTGAGAAACCCGGGACGCACAGGACAGCCCAGCAAGCCCAGGCATGAGCAGCCATTGCCTCCCTGCCTGCCCTGCTGCCAGCACCCCGTCACAGCTGCCCGCTCCCTCAGTGGGGTGATGCCATGAGCAGGGTGATGCCATGTGCCAGTGCGTGGGATGACAGCTCCACTGGGGCTGCTTTGGGTCACCAATGGGGCTGTCCTCGGTGACCACCAGAGCTGCTGCAGTGGATTGCAGCCATCCCCTCTTGCCGAGGCTGGCGGCGCTCAGCCTGCCTGACCAGAAACCACACAATTTCCTCCTCTCCCCTCTAATTACACCATCTGAATCACTCACATTAAGGCCATTGCTCTTCACCACCTGCTTTGCTGCTGTGCCCCAAGCTGTGACTTGGGGACCACTCTGTTTGGAACACCCCGAGTCCCATGCACCCACCCAGCCCTGCCAAGATGCTCCAGCACTGCCCCCCCTCTCCAGACACCCTGTGATGCATTGGCACAGGGGTGGCTGTGCCAGCCCCACCCCACTGCTCCATGGGGTTTGGGTTTCCCAATGTAGGAAGGAGCACAGAGCCGCGCCAAAAACCCCACGGGGGTGTCCGACTCATCCTGCTTTGCTGGCACCTCCATCAGGAATAAAGCCGCCCATCCTGCTGCTGGGAGGGCAGAGGTGTCACGCACTCGGCAAGGTAAGGATTGATTTGGGATCAGCACCTTCAGCTACGAACTGTGAGGGACTGGGATGAGCTGGGATGAGGAGTCACTCCCTTACCCACCAGGGCTGTGATCAGGTTTAAGGACGTGGAGCAGCCCAGGGTGCCAGTATTGGTGGGTGATAGAGATACCCTGTTGGGGAGCAGAGCTGGGTCATCCCACAGGCTAGCAGGGATGCTACTGGGAGGGCTCATGGAGGCAGGACAAGAGTCAGCTTCCCCTGGGACTAACAAGCCAGCTCTGTGGGCTGCTCCAGGCAGTACCCACCATGGCACACAGTGTGCCAGGACTTAGGGAGGACCTACATGGGGTGGTTTTCTTTGCTCTATCCCCAAATCTAAAGCAGTTTTGAAAGTCTGTCTCCCATCACTGCATCCCTGCTGAGCCTCGCTCCCAATGGGATCCGTGGTGCTGGCACTGTACCTCCTGGCTGTGGCTCTCCCATGCCTGGCCACTGCCACGCTGCGCATTGGTGCCTTCAACATCCAGGCATTCGGTGACACCAAGATGTCCAACGAGGAAGTGGCGGGCATCATCATCAGTGTGAGTGCAGCCGGTGCCGTGCAGGGATGGGCTGTGCACTGGGGTGGGCCCAAGAGGTGGCTCCTGTGCCAGGAACACATCCATGTCTCCTGTGCCATGGGGATGGGATGGCACCCCACTGCTGGGGATGCCCTGGGTGGATGAAGGCTTGTTGGGGACCAAAGTGAGGTGTCAGGCACACACCCTGCATGAGGGACATGCAGGACCCCATGGTGCTGCATCCAGCACCATGTCAGGGTGCCCAGGCAGTAGATGGGCTCGCTCTCACCATCACTGTCCCTCTTGGTCCCGCAGATCCTGAGCCGCTACGATGTGGTGCTGGTGCAGGAGGTGCGCGACTCCGACCTCAGCGCCGTCACCCAGCTCATGGAGCAGCTCAACAGGTACAAGCAGGGCTGGGGCACCCGGCTGGGACACCAGCATTACAGGGAAAGCCAAGCTGGTTGAGCAACAAAGGGCAAAACCAGAGTCATCCATTAGCAGAAGCTTTGCTTCTGAAAAGGGGAATGGGAGGAAAGTGCTGCAGCTGAAGCTTGGAGCAGGCTGAAGCTTTGGAAGAGACTGGGAGTAACCTGGGGAGGAGAAGAGGGATATAAGTGGTACAAAACTCCTCCAAAAGCTGCCATTCCCCTGGAGCACACAGGGTGGAAAGGGACCACAGCTCCAGCAAGCTCCATCTCCAAAATCCAGCAGCACAGGGCAGAGGCGAGATGGGGGATGAAGGAGGCAGAGACAGGCAGTCCCCAGTGCCCCAATACCCTGTCAGTGACAGGGGGACCCCGGGATAGACCCCGTGGCAGATGATGCTGTGAAGTGAGCGGCTCAGGTACCCCAGTAGGAAAAGGGGCTGCTGGGGTGGTCTGGAAGTGCCTGTGGCAGTGCGGCAGCTGCTTACCGGCTGCATGCGGGCAGGGGCTGGGGCTGGATGGAGGCTGCTGCTGCCTTGCTGTGCTGGAGCAGGTACACCCAGCCCACACCCTTGTCCCTCCGGTGTCCCCTCCAGCAAGGCCACACAGCAGCCGAGGCAAGGAGGGTGACGCCAGGCTCTGCACAGCCCGGGGCTGCTCATTGACCTAATTTAGCTTTGCTGCACGTGAAGGTGAGGAGCATCCCTATGGAGCCGCCTCGTGTCCTGCCATGCCCTGGGTGGTGTGGGCAACAGGGTGGCTTGGAGCCACTACACCCATGTCACCCCATGGACAGGGCACAGTAGTCCACAGGGACAGCACAGCAGGGCTGCCTGGTGCCACCCCAGGATGGTACCAGCCATGTCACTGGTGCCAGAAATGTCACCATCCTGCCTTTGCTTCTCCACAGTTTGTCCACGTCCCCATATGACTATGAGATCAGTGGCCCCCTGGGACGGGACAACTACAAGGAGATGTACCTCTTCATCTACAGGTAACGGGCTGGGTGCTCTGCCACCTGCCTGCAGCACCGCGGGGCCACTGACACCATGCAGGGGACACAGGGGCCATGCCAAGCCCCAGGTTCATCACCCCTTTGGCCCTGCAGGACAGACGTTGTGTCTGTGGTGGACACCTACCAGTACGAGGATCCCCAGGATGTCTTCAGCCGGGAGCCGTTCATCCTGAGGGTCTCAGCACCCAACACCAGTAAGCAGGGTGACAAACGGCCCCGGGTGGTGGCATGGGGTGGCCATGGGGCTGACATCTCTTTTCCCTGGCAGAGGTGCAGGACTTTGTGCTGGTGCCACTGCACTCAGCTCCACATGATGCTGTTGCTGAGATTGATGCTCTCTACGATGTCTACCTGGCCATTGTCAACAAGTGGGGGACCGATGTGAGTGTCACCAGCGCTGGGGATGGCACTGAGGGTGGGCGCTGAGCTGCGGGGACCATTAGACCCACACTAGTTCCCTGCTCCAAGGCAGGCGGTGGGATGGGGACCCTCCTCCTGCCCCATCCCCTGCCACAGGAGGCTGCTCTTTGGGGACAGCCCTATTCCCCACCCACCATGAGCCCCCATCTCCCTGCTACAGAACATCATGTTCCTGGGGGACTTCAACGCCGACTGCGCCTATGTGCAGCATGGTGACTGGTCATCCATTCGCCTGCGCACCAGCGACATCTTCAAGTGGCTGCTCCCGGATGGCACTGACACCACGGTGGGGAGGTCAGACTGTGCCTATGACAGGTGAGTGCTGTAATGACACTGCTGGCTCCCCCCGGGCACCCCCTGCCCATCCCTCACCACCCTGAGTGCGGGGACAGGAGCCAGCCTCACTGCCCATGTCTCCTGGGCAGGATCGTGGTGTGCGGCGCCAAGCTGAAGAGAAGCATCGTGCCCAATTCCGCTGGTATCTACAACTTCCAGCGTGCTTTCCAGCTGGAGCAGGAAGAGGTGAGCCGGGCTTGCAATTTCAGGGCTCAAACAGGCACCAAGGCTGAGCTGCCCTGGGCAGCACTGGCCCTGGGGCTGCTGATACCTAGCAGGGATTAGGCAGCTCAGTGCTGTCATGTAGCTGCCACACTTAAGAAGCAGCATAAAACCGCAGCTGAAGCAGCTCCAGCAGCAGCATGAGCTGGCTCTGGCTGCACCATGTGTGCCCCTGCCCAGCGCCTGTCTGCTCCTGCATCAGGCATGTGGGAGCTCAGGGTGACAAGGGATCTGTGGGTGGAAACAGGAGTGGGGATTTGTCTGTCCCTGGGGAGAAGAGATGAGGCACACAGGGTTTTGCATGGCCTTTTGTGGGCAGGTGCAGGCAGGGTTCCAGGGCATGGGGCAGTCCAAGACAATCTTCAGCTACCCATAGTTGGCACAGGGCTCCCAGGCAAGATGCAGGGGTCTCAGAGGGCACACATCCGCCTGCCAGTGCTGACCACAGGCTGCCTCCATAAAAGGTGCAAAACTGGAGCCTCGTGTGTTGAGTGTCAGGTGGGAGACATGGTGTCCCACTCCAGCAGGCAGGTTCTGGCAGGGCAATCACAGCCTCCCTGCCAGTCCCACCAGCACGGTGAGGGGCTCACCATTGCATTACACCTTGCACTACACCTCCCCAACTCTCGCCCTCTTCTAGGCCCTGGCAGTCAGTGACCATTACCCAGTCGAGGTGAAGCTGACAGCTTGAATTGTCCTGTGGCCTCAGACCACGATCCAGATCCAGCTCCCACCACCAACCCTGTGAAGCCACCCCCTGCAGCCCCATCCACCATCCCTGTACAAGGGCTGCTTCAGATCCTGGTCTGGAGAACGGTCGCAGCCAGTCACCAGCCATGCCCAGACCCCTCAGCCCACCACGGACGAGAGCCTGGGGACAGGCCACAGTCAGGAAGCGGTGACCACCGACAGGCTGGGAATGAAGCATCCATCTCCTACCTCATTGAAGACTTTATTGACAAATCTCTTTTCATGATTAACTGTTGGATAGAAGGGAGGACATCCAAGGACCAGAGGGCTCAGGCCACAGCGGTGTCATGACCCTCTCCCTGTCTGTTCCTCAGGGAGCTGAGCAGACTGCTCTCCTGCTCTCAGGAAAGGCAGCAGTGGTGTCAGGCACTCTATGGGGACTAAAGGGGCAGCTGGGGTGGCCATGGGAGCAGGTAGCACATCACCAACTGCTGACACTGCAGACAACTTCACTGTGAAAGTCTATAGCTGCTGCAGCATTTCAAGCTCCTAAGACCAGGCCCTGCGTGGCTAGCTCCTCAGCTCTTCTTCTTCTTCAGCATCTCCATGTACATGCGAAGTGACTTCTGGATGGACTCTTTTGAGACAAAGCTGATGAAGTTCTTAATGTCTTCCTCTCGGTGAGCTACCAGGCGGTCCAACACTGTCTTCCTCATCATGGACTTGGTGATCTGACGGGCATGGTCTGCAGAGAGGAGAGTGGGGATGAGGAATGTGCATGGTCCTCACCCTAACAGCTCTCAGCCACTGCCCCCCTGTGCAGGTGCCTCCAAATGAGGAGGTACTGCACAACAAAGGGCTCCTTAGACCAACAGGGAAAGGTGTAAGAAAACCCCACCAGCTGGAAGCTGAACTGGATAAATTCTGATACAATAAATCATGATCTGTACCGCTGAAACCACTGCTCTACTGGGACAGACAACAGGAAACTGTGCACCTCCTTCTCTTTGCACTCTCCAGAGCCTAGCCCCCATCTCAACAAACACCACCAGGCTCAGGACAGCAGTAACCAGACAAAATTCTCTGCTACTTGAAACTGCTCTGGCTCTAAGCTCCCAATGACCCAGACCCTTCAGCCTCTGGCAAGACAGTCTGCTCATGCCAAGCACACTGTCAGAAGCCAGCAGCTAGGGCCCCTTGAGCTTATCCCAACAGCAGGCTCTGGGCCTGTGCCACTCCACATGAATACGTGGATACTGCCGGAGCAGTGGTGGCTGCTGGAGCTGACTGAGGCCTTGCGCACTCACCTGCTCACATACACACCCAGAGCCATGGCCAGTGATGTGGCAGCGCATCTGTGGCACAGAAGTTGCACGCGAGCTCTCACTGTGCTTTAACCACGACAGTGAAGAAATCACCAACACCCCCCATGCACTGGGAACACCAAATTGCTCCAGCTCCTGTGTGCTACAGACACCTTCACCAGGGCAGACTCCTTCTGCTCTGATTTAGGGCTCTGGGAAAGGATCTGTATGGTGCCTCCTGCAAGCTAGGAGAGAGATGAGATGTGCTCCCCACTCTTTGGAGCTGAGGTGCCACTTTAACACCAGCAAGGCAGGGCAGAGAGCTGCTCAGGGACCCTCTTCCAAGGCTGGAACACAAAGTGACAGTCCTGGGACCCCTCTTTCTGTGCAGTTTCATTCAGATTCCTACACAAAAAGCAGCCGAGGGGTGCTACACAGCTACAGCTCCCTGCAGCCCAGGAGGTGGCATGGGATGGGACAGCTCACATGTAGCCCTGGCCATGAGGAGCCCTCTCCCAGCTCAGGAACCCTGTGCTGCCAGTCACAGAGCAGCCCAAACATGCATGTAACGTCTGTGCTGTCCTTACACCCCCATCACCATCTCCAGCTCAGCAGAGTGCCGAAGGTTGATCCAGACCACGAAGGTGAATTGGTAACCACCCAGGCATTCTCACCCTGCCTTCTACCCCAGCTCCATGGCAGCTTTCCTGGGGTAACACCTCCACTGACACGCACAGAGATTCAGTTTGTATCTGGGACTCACACACCTCCAGATTGATTCAGCAAGGGCTGACAGGGTGAGCCAAGCTGGAGTCATGTCCCTGCACACCCAGCACAGTGTCCTCCCATGCAAGGGCACTGGCCAGCCCATCTCTGTTAGCCCAAGGCTGCCTGGACTGCTGTACTGAGCTTTCCTACCACCCAGCCATCCACACCTTCCCTTTAAATGAGAACTGTTACGTAGCTCCCAGGTACCAACTGGGGTGCCTGTCCTTCCCACCCAGATCAGGTCCCCTCCTCCTCCGTTGGAGGTGCCACCCATACCAGGAAGGGCCAACCACTGTGCCATAACAGCTGCAGCCTTCTCCTGGAGCTTTTCCTCTGGCACCAGCTCATCCACAATGCCAAACTTGAGGGCCTCAGGTGCAGGGTACAGGGAGCCCAACTGGAGGGAGCGCTCAGCAACTCGCTGTCCCACAACATTCACAAATGTGTCCTTAAACCTAGAGGAGATGGGAGGCAAAGCCATGGTCATGGAAACCAACACCCAGCAGCAGCTGCACTGACATCAAAGCTAACAGCACGCTTGGTCTCACTCCCCAGGCTGTAGGCTCAGCCACGCTGCGCAAAGTCAGGCGAGCAGAGTCATTTTGGGTTCTACCAAAGTTCCCCCTCCTCTCCATGAGAGCTGCTCTATTTCCCCTCAGTGCTACGTTCTCAGGGCAATCAAGGGCCTGTGTCTTAGCATATTGGTGTCTCTAAGCTTTCAGAGATCTTCACAGTTATGGTATTTTGCAGGTACACAGCATGTGTCCAGAGAAAAGCATATTCCCAGGCTGAGCCTGACCAGGAGATCTCCCAGAACTTGTTTCAGAGTTGACTGCAGGGTCAGAACCGAGGTCCTCACTGGTGAAGGATGTGTGGACATTCTGTACCCTGAAAGCTCTTCAGATGCCTACAGGACAGAGAAATGAGGTGCTGTCTCCTGCAGCTGTCTGATCACTGACGCAGAAAACTACATCTCAGTGGCCAATTAAATTGATTCATAAACTCCTTGAAGATTAATTCTCTTTAGAGACCAACACATAACACTAGAAGTGGAAGACACTGGCCTACCAGAAGGGAGCCACGATGCCCAGCTGGGCTTCGTTCAGGCCGATGGTGTATTTGGGGTTCTCTGCCATGATCCTGTAGTCACATGACAAGGCAATGAGACAGCCTCCTGCTGGGCTGGACCCCTGGCAATGAGAAGGAAGGAGTGAGTCTAGGTCATGGTTACAAACGCTGACAGAGTAGATATTCCCTAAGTCTCTGATTACCTGGTGTGGAACAGCCCTAAAGAAGATTCTGGTAGGTTTACCAGGGTTTACCCTTTCATTTTTCAATGCTCTTTAGTTAACTGATCCATGTTACTCAGATCACAAATCCCACAGTGGTTATTTGCTAAAGCATTTTCTTGTAACCATACCTGAGTCTTTAAGAGCAGTTCAGTTTGTAAACCTAAATGTCACAGAAACGGTTTTCTTCAGGGGCTTTGTAACACTTTCTGTCTATAAAACCTCCAAGTTTGTGCTTGGTGCACAGGATGCCTGCATGAAGACATCAGAGACCCAACTGCCTTCAAAGATAGTCTACAGGCAGATACAGAACCAGGACCTGCCAAAGCAGCACTGCACCAAAACATGAAAACAAGACACCAAGCAGGTAACAACTCATCTACAGACACTGAGATTCAGACAGCACTTCCCTGCTAGCCAAGAGCTATAGGTGGAGGAACACAACCCAGTGAAAAAGGGCTTACAACAAACCGCACTGCCCGAAACACTGCTGCCCACAGGACTAGGGACACTTGTACAATGCATGGCTGCCTCTCACCTCCTCCCCTACAGCAAAGCAGTGCAGCAGGCAAGCGACTGGGCAACTCTTACGAGTCCCATCGGTGGGAAAGCAGCCAGTAGGCATGTGACAGGCACCCTTTGGACTGCTCCTACACCAACCACTCGGCTTCTCCAGCACTCGTCTGCTACTGATGCCCCTTCAGGCTCTACCACTGACCTAAGCCCTCCTCCTGGTCCTCCAGCCAAGTTCGTGGGCAGGGTATGGCTCTTGCTGCACAAAACACTGCCAAAGGCACCTCAGCCTCCACTGGCAGAACACGAGTGCCATGCAAACTCTCCATGCAGCTGAAATGCTGCTATACCCCAGAGCTCCTGCAGCTTACATACATGGAGCCTGCAGCATCCCACGCTTCCAGACCTTCCCACACCCCGATGCACTGACCAACAGACATGAACTTTGCCCAGACATCCCAACAACTACATCCTTGTGTTTCTTTCAGCACTGACAAGCTGCTTAAGCTGTCCCTGCCCATGTGGTGCAAACAAAACAGATCGCTCAGGGTGACTGGGACGGTGGATCTAAAGAACGTACATTGATTACAGCAAGTGTCACCATGTTGGAGCTGTACAGCCGGAGCCAAATCTCCTGCACAGCTCTCCAGAACTCGGCGTAGTGCTCCGTGCTCTTCCCACACATCTCGGTGATGTCCAGCCCAGATGAGAAGATTTTGGGGATGGCCTGGAATTGGGAAAATGCAAACATCACTCAGAGTCATTGCTCACAGATGACCCTAATGCACTCAACCTACAGTCTGAGGAAAGGGAAAGGACTAATTAAATATGACATGAACCAGGGTCTTTTGGGGTTCTGAAACAATCTCCCCATTGCTCCCACAGCTTGGATCATCTCATCACCATGTGCTGCAGGGCTGGGACTCTTTGCTCACAGCATGATTTCTTATTATCAGGATGCCTGTGCTGGTACATCAGTCATGCAGCACAAAACCTGTTTTGTCCCATTCCCAGACACCCACTTTGTACACACATCACATCTGAAAATAAACACTGGCATCCCCTAGCAGCTCCCTCTGGACAGTTCAAGAGATCTCAAGGGATGTGTCAGCTTTGCAGGTAAGCAGCTTTGATTGTAATGACAAATCACAATACTTGGTTGTTGTTATTGTGCTAGAAAAGGGCAGGGAAGAAAGAGCACAGCACTTCCAAGAATCCCCTCCCCTCATTCCAAAGCTGATCAAAGCTGCCTCATTACCCTCCCATGCCAGTAACCACGGAGTCAAGACACCAAGCACAAGGAATGGAGCGGAACCCATTGCTTGCACGTTAGATCCAGCTCAGGACAACACATACAGATGTTATGATGATGCCACGGCAGGCCCGGTCATTCTCTAGCTTCTCCAGGCTTATACAGAACTCGGTGAGGAAGTCCAGGCTAAGGCTATTGACTGGGGGGCTCTTGAACTTCATTGTGGCGACGCCTGCACCACAGTAAACACAAAGACATCAGAACCCCACCAACACACTCTCACAGTGCCTTGCCCAAAGGAACTTCACCCGCCTCCATGCTTCCCAGCTCACCCAGATCATGCCTTCCCACTCCTGGCTCTTCAAAATGCCCTCAGAGCAGTGTGGCCAAGAACAGACCAGACCTGCCTGCAAGCTGGGCTCACTGAGCCAGAGGTGAACCCGGTGCATGGACAAACACACCCTGTGTCCCAAAGACCAGACACCTTTGGGGTAACACTGTTCATCAGCTCCCTTCTCTCTGGGCTCACTGGATAAGGTTTAGCCTCCTGCTGCTATCACAGCAAACATCCCATGCCCAGTGGATCACACACCTTTCCCACCCCGCCAGCAGTACTGCCACCCCGTCCAGCACTGCGGGAAGGGCTCTGAGCCCTTGTCCCCTCCCAACTGCACTACCCTCCCCAAAAGGTCCTGGAGTGCTTGGTCTGTGTGCTGCCGCTGTGCTCAGGCTGCGGACAGCATGAGGATGCACCCAGGGCCCTGGCAGGCTCAGGCAGACTCTGGGAAGCCTCAAGAAGGGGCACCCTTTGTTTGGTGCGGGAACATGGCCCCATGACAGCTATTCCTGGCAGGCAGGACACAGCAATCCCAACAGCTGCTCCCCGGAGGAGCGCCTGCCATTCCACCAGGTCTCCAAAGCAGGGACCCTGCAGAGGGGACAATGCACGGGTAGGGCACGGGGCACGAGGTCTGTCCACGGCGACAGCTAAGGTTTGCCTGTGGCACCCAAGCAGCACCCAGCCACCTGAGGTGACCACAACTGGAGACACCCTTGTCCCCAAACGCTCCTCTCTGAGGGTCCTAAGCAGCTGAAGCTGGAATATGTGGGGCTTCCGTGGTTTCCATGGTCAGCGCCACACATGCCCTGGGGCGGGCACGGAAGGGGCCCTGCTTGTGCCCCACAACTCCCCGTAGGATGAGTGTGACACCGCAAAGGTGCCACCAGCTGTACCTGAGCTCTCGTTCATCTCCACCTGGATCTTGTTGTTGCTGAAGGCACGACATGGGGCAAGCGGGAGGCTGGGGGGCTGCCGGATGGCTCTGCCCCACGCCGGCAGCCGGCGGCACAGAGGCAGCACACCTGGGGGTACAGCAGCAGGTAGGGCCGGGGAGGGCACAGCCCCACAGTGAGGGACACTGGGACACCCCCGACCCACCGAGGAAGGCCATGGGGCACCCTGACCACGGCGGGGCGAAGCCAGGAGGGGCGGTCCCCAGTGCAGGGGCGGGGCACGGGACACGGTGTCCCTGCGGAGGGGCGCGGGGGGACGCGGGGCCGGGCGCACCTGAGCGGGCGATGCGATGGGCGAGAGCCGGCGCCGCCGCCATCTTCTGCCGCCGGCTCAAGGGTACAGGGCGGGAGCGGAGCCGCGAGTCACCTCCCCGCGCCTGGACACGCCCCCCCGCAGCACCGGCACCGCCCACTTGAAGCCCCGCCCACCTGGAATGAAGCTCCGCCTACACTCGGAGCTACCGCCCCCTGGTGGCTTCAGACTGGCGGCATCGTCCTGCCCTGCCCGCAGCGTCCTGCCCTGCCCGCAGCATCCTGCCCCATCCTGCCCTGCCCTCTCCATCCTGCTCTGCCCGCATCATCCTGCCCTGCCCTCACTGTCCTGCCCGCACCGTCCTGCCCACCCTGCCATGCGGCTCCCCACCCTGCTGCTCCGCTCGGCTGGGCCCACCTGGGCCGTGCACCCAGGGTCTCCGCAAACCTCCCCTCACCTCACAGCCCCTGACCCGGGCAGCCGGAGCTCCAGGGAGCGCCTGGGCCGAGGCCCACGGCCCCCGCCGAGCCCTGGCCACTGATGGCGGCTGCTGGCCCATGCCAGCAGTGGCTGCGGATCTCATCATGATAGAGGCTGCCCCGGGGGACCCCGCGGGGGCCGGGGCTGGCTCTGCTGTGCAGGCAGAACCCGTCCGGCAGCAGCATGGCCAGGACAGCGCTGCCCCTCTGCCTGCTCCTCGCTGCTGCCCTGCAAGGCGGCCTGACCCAGGGGCCCGGCGTCCGCCCTGGCCCCCTGCTCCTGCGGCTGCGGCGGCTGGAGGAGCAGGTGGGTGCCGGGATGGGGAGCAGGCACAACCCGGCCTGTCCGGGGGGCACTGTTCTGGGGCAGGCCGGGGCCAGCAGTGCACGGGGATGTGGGTTCAACCCATTTCGCCCCACTCCTTTGCAGTTTCAGCGGCTCCAGGAGGTGACACTGAGCCATCTCCAGAGCATCGCCAACAACTACAACATTTCCTACAACATCGACGAACGCTTCAGGGCACTTGCAGAGCAGGCAGAGGCGGCCACCACTGCCCGGGCTGCCCTGGGGGCAGAGCTGGCCCGTCTGGCCACTGCCGGCCGGCGGCTGCACCGCAGGCTGAAGTGGCTGGAGCGAACAGTGGGTGCCCTGAGCCCACCGCACCACCTGCTCACACACCCGCTGGGTGCACCTGTGGAGGCTGGCACCAAGACACACAGCCTGCTGGATGCTGCCTGGAGCTGGGGCGGCCAGCGGGAGCCACATGGCCGAGTGGCCACGAGCACCCCCAGCCCTCGGTGCCCGAAGGTGAAGAAGTGCCAGCAACACCGGCAGCAGGAAGGGCACTGGCGGCCGGCTGATGCTGGGCATGGTGGAGCGACCAGGGAGGATACAGAGCCCACCCACAACGCAGCACTCGGAGCCCAAACAGTGGCACTGGTGCTCCCCACTGTGACCATGGTCCCCCAGGAGCAGCCGCCAGCCCCCCAGCAGCCAGGAGAGGGTAGGTACAAGCTCCTCACCCCAGCACCCACCCCCGCAGCCTGTCACACCGGTGTTGTCCTGCTCTTCCCCAACACCTCTGCCGAGCATGTGGCCATCGTGGGGCTGGGGCCGCGCCGGGGGCTGCGGGCACTGTCGCTCTGTGCCTGGGTGGCCACCCCAGCCCCCTGCCTCGGTGCTCTCCTCTCCTACACCACTGAGGACAGCGGCAGCGAGCTGGCTGTGCGTGGCTGTGACAGGGACCTCCCCGGCTCCACACAGTTTGTCATCGGGGACGGGCAGCTTCGGGAGCTACCGGTGACACCACTCCTGGATGGTGAATGGCACCACCTCTGCCTCACCTGGTCCTCTGGCCAGGGCCAGTACCGCTTCTATCTGGACAGACGGCTGCTGGCTGCTGGCTCCGGCTTCCGGCAGGGGTATGAGGTTCCTGCTGGTGGCTCACTGGTGCTGGGGGGGCAGCAGGACCACCCCGGCAGGGACTTCAGCACCGCGGCAGCTTTTATGGGTCACCTGGCTGGCTTTGCGCTCTGGAGCCGGGCTCTCCTGCCCGGAGAGGTGGCCAGCATGGCAACCGGCCGGGGGCTGCCCCGCGGCCCCCTCCTCACCCTGGCCGATGCCTCCCTGCGGGGCGGCGTGCGGAGGGTGGTGTGCCCCTGCCTCCAGCACTGCCTGTGATAAGCCCGGCAGCAGGAACGGTGCCGGCTCCCAGCAGTATCACAGCTGGCTCACGCTGCTGATGCCAGCATGGGCTGCGTACTCCCAAGGTACTGGGACACGCTGTAGAGAGCATCTCAGGACTGGGACCACCAGAGGTGGGGACAAGGAAAAGGTAGTGGTGAGATGCAGTCCTGGTGCTGGAAAGTCGTCAGCTCCTGCCCACAGAGGATGTACCACCCCATCATTTCTATTAAAATGCTCTGAGCAGGGAAGAAACCTCACTGATTTCTGGTCTTGCTCTTCACTGTAACGTTTGGTGCCACTTATGGCTGGACAGGAGCTGCTTCATGCAGGCAGCTGGATCACCAGGCTAGGTCACACAGGGGTGACCCCTGCTCATCCCCTGCCTCCACCAGCATCTGTCACTGAGTCAGACCCACGGGGAAGTTGTAGCACGGAAAAGTCTGTGACTGGGATGAGCCAGAGGTGCTGGAGCGCGTGTGGGCTGTTTGTGTGTCTGGCCCCCTGTGAGGGGCTCCTCATGTGGAGCAGAGCTTTGGGCCGGGCTGGGGGCTCGGGTGAAGCACACAGAACGCTCCCAGGTGGCTGCCTTGCTGCACACTCTGCCCGGAGACTGGGGACAGCGCCAGCCCCAGCCCTTCTACACGTCCCGGGGCTTGTGGGGGGCCTTGCTGCCCAGATACGGGTGTGACTGGGCCCAGCGTCGGGCAAGGCCTCGTTGCGGCCCTGCAGCCTACCGGGCCTCCGCCTCCGCTGTCCCGCTCGCGGCAGCCCCAGAGCGGTAAGACTGGCCCGGTGGCGGCTACGGACCGGGACCGAGGCCGGGACGCGGGGCCGATGGGACTACAACTCCCATAGGGCAGCGGGGCAAGGCAGCTCCCGCCGCCGCCGTAGTGCTCACGTGAGGGCGGTGGCCCGGCAATCACATGACTGGCCGGTAAGGCCGGGCCCGGCGGAGGTGTGTGTAGCTGTCCCTCTGCATGGCTAACGTCGCTAAGAAAGTGTCCTGGTCCGGCCGCGACCGCGATGAGGACGACTACGATGAGGACGGGCGAGCGGGAGAGACCACCCCGCTGCTCAACGGCACCGGCCCCGGCGCGGCGGCGGGCAGCCGGCAGGTGCGTACCGGCACCGGGAGGGATCTGCTCCATCCCTGGGCTCTCCACGCTGAGACGTCGCCGGAGGCGGGCTGGACCTGAGGACTGGGGTCGTGTATGCGTCCTCCTCCCCCATAGCATTTTACTATGTTCGAGGCTGGGCTGGAGCTGCCGGTGCGGAGCCGCGGAGTGACGGGACTCTGCGCTCACAGCAGCCCTCGGGGGAGGTAGGGGCTCCTCCGTGCTCCCCCGAGCCGGAGAGAGCAGAACCTTGCAGAGCCCGATGGGGGGGGGGGGGGAACCAGGGCTGGAGCACTGGGGCCTCGGGTCATTCCTGCGGGAAAAACTGAGCGTGCAACTGACTCACTGCCTGGCAGCGGGGCAGTTCCCGCCGGAGCCGGCTCCCGTCATGAGGTGCCAGCTCCCAGTGATACTGGTGCCCTACCCAGGGCCCTGCTGCAGCGGGGCTCACCTGCCCCCTACCCACTCCTTGGCCATGGATGCAGGTGGTCCCTGACCTGGCTGCTGGGGCTGCCCCCTTCATCTGTACTAATAATGCCATTTCTTTGGAGACCACGTTGCCTGCACACTGGTGCTGCCCAAGCCAACAGGTTGCGCTCAAACACAAGAGTGTCTAATGCTGGCGTGGTGGGCATCGTGTGGGATGTGCGGAACTACACTGACAAACAGCAGGTCCAGGGTGGGCCATGTTGCAGGGGGAAGCCAATTCTTGCAGATTAATTTTGGGTGATGAACTGAAGAGAAACTTCCCTCCAGTGTACCCAGAGGCTGTTACTCTGCCTGGCAGTCTCTCCTCCACATGTGGTGTGGTTAACTGAAGCACACCGTGGCTCTAGCCACGGCACTTGGTACCTGTTATAGAGCAAAGCTGTGGTTGAGTAGCTGTGCTGAGTGAGGGCCATGGCCTGGGTGGGATGTTGTGTCAGGTCCATGGGGTGCTTCTGTGTCAGTTCCAGGTGACAGAAGGGCAGGTGATGTCCTTGAACTTCCTATGAAGAGTTTGGTGGGAGACTTGAGCTGAGACAGGAAGCATGCCAGCCTTTGGCAGCTGTTAGCAGGGACAGCTTGCTGAGCATGATTCTGTTCTGCCTTTCTGGGCAAGTCAGAACAGCAGTCTAATTAGGGTGCCTTGCGTGGCATTGTGGGAGGGAGGGATGGCGGCTGGAGGAATTGCCTGCGCCACTGCACTGCTCTGGTGTGAAAGTGCAGGTAAACTCCCTGGCCAGTACAAGCTCCCGTGTATGTACAGCATGGGTTGCCTTTGAAGACCACATGGTGGGTTCTGCAGGTCTGAAGGGATTAATCAAACCTTGTGGCTGCAGATCAGTTGGGAAAGGGCTTTTCTGGTGGCTTAGAAGAGATGCCTGAGCCCCTCTACAGCAGGGGTGGTGGAGACCCAGCTCTGTGATCTGATTTATCATCGCCGTGTCCCTTCACAATGTAGATAGCTGAGGTCCCAGATGGTGACAAGGAGCTACGTGGCATCTTCCTTAGCAAAGGAGGAGAGTGAATACCTTGCTGGAGCTCTGAGCCCACAGCTGTCCTGACCACACATGCCCTTAACAGTGGCACTGACCTGGCAGTGGTGGTTGGGTTGTTACCATAGTGCTGGGGTTGCTTTTTGGTGTAGGGCAGCTGTTTCCCTCTCACACCATCCCTTTGACCTTAATACCATTTTAGATTAAAGCAGGAAGGCAGGACAGATTTGGCAGAGAAACAGAGACTGGAGCTGTTCAGCTCATGGAGGCTTAAACTTGGGTTGCGGCAATACAATAAAAATGTCCCCAGTGGAGCTTTCTCCCTTTCTCTTTGCAACAGCTGTGCTTGGTTAATAGAAATGAAACTGACCTTAGACTGATAAAAGGAAACAGTCTCTGGGTGACTGCTGTGAGAGACTGAGATCAAGCACTTGTGGATGGGAGGTGAGGAAGGGCTGGATAAATGTGCTCATAACCATGAATGGATGCTGCAGGGCTGTGTCTGAAGTTGACTCTTGTTTTGTGGCCAGCTGAGCGCTGCTTCAGAGCTGACAGAGCCTTTGTCCTCTCACCAGGACTTTCTAGTGCCTCAAGTATATCAAGAAGTGAGAAATTGCCAGTACATCTGAGCATTGTGCCTTCCATGAGCCGCCCCCTTCCCATGCTCTCGAGCTGAGTGTGTCAGTTCTTAGGCTGAAAACTGGAAAATTGTAGTGGGAACAGCCAATTTCCATCATTAGGCATTTTTCTAAAAAGAACGCTTCCCTTTTGCTACCCATCAAAGATATGTTCCGTTTGTGCTAAAATGTCTTGACTTTGGGATTGGTATAATGCCCCTGCTCCAGAGGGTGTCTGGAACAGGGGGGGTGGGCAGGGGGTCACCATAATGTGACCAGGCTGCTGCTGAGCAGCCTGTCCTTGTTAACCCCCAAGTGTTTCTTCTACACAAAATGTTGTTTGTCTTGTTTTCTTGTAACTTCACAAAACAGGCTGCAGAATGCAGCCCTTGTGGCTGGGAGGGAGTGCCGGAGGGCTGTGCTTGCTGCAATCACAATGTCTTGACTGGGAGGAGGGAGAAAAGAGAAGTCTGAGTGAGCCCTGGCTCCTGCTGGATGGGCTGCAGGTAGTACATTCCCTGGGTACCGGCAAAGAGGCTGCCTGTCTCTGCCTGCCCACTGCCAGGAGCTGGAGTCCCTGGAAAGCCATTGTCCTTGGAGCCTTCCCAAGAAGAGGGGATTTAGCAAGTCCAGTCCTTTGGCTGGGTGCATCATCCAGGACTGCAGCAGTGCTTTAACCTTGCACTGCTTTTCTGCACATGGATCAAGGTGCCTGGAGAAAGGCAGAAGGGGTCAGGATAATAACAGCATCTCCCAGCCTGGTGCAGGTGAGGAGCAAGGAGCGACTGTGCCCAGGAGTGACAGCAGGAGGCTGGAGACAAAGTTGTAACCAAGTGGTGACAGCACAGGGAGAGTCTGGATGCTTTCTCCCCCGTTATGGGCCTTGAGGTGAGGAGCCTTGTTCTCTCCTGGTGTGGTGTGTTTCAGGGATGACAACTATGCTGGTTTGGAGCCCATCACAGCTGTGGTTGTGTCAGAGGAGGGGGATTCCAAAAGCCCTGCAGCTCATCCCCCATGCGCTGCCATAGCCGGTGACAGGGCTTCCCCTGTCAGTGAGCCACCCAGTGACACAGCCTTGCAGCCTGGAGCCATTCCTCCCAACCAGGCAGGTACCAGGGGCTCAGAGCATGCTGGGGCTGAGAGGGCTCTGGGGCTGGAAATCCTCTTCCTTCCCTCTCACTGCTTCTGCAATACCGCTGTGGGCTCCTGGTGCGGTCTGTGCTGTGCTTTATCTCAGTGGTCACAGAAAGCCACATGCTTCCAGTTCGTTAGTGAGCAGGACAGTGATAAGGGGCAGTATATGGGGGAGGGGGTATCTTCACACCAGCGGTGGTCACTGGGAGTGGGGGTTGTCCTGGATTATCCCTGTGGAAATGTGCTGTGGAGCAGGGTCAGGCGCTCCCTGTTTATGGTTCTTCAGAGCAGTGTTTGAGAGGCACTGCTGGGTCACTGTGTGCACAGCCTGGGTTATTTCTGCAGTGCTTTAGCCTTGACTAAAGTCATTCTACTCGTCACAAACAGGGATTGCTCTTTGACTGCTCTGCTTGGAGGCAAAATGCTGCTGTGGCATCATGTATGGCAGCATGGCTTCTTATCACCTCTGCCAAATGGGGATGCTGGCAGCAGTGCTTCTGTCTCCCATCCTGACCTGCAGAGCTCTGGGCTGCTGCTGCTGTCTGTTCACTGCTACTGTTGCCTGACCTTGGAGATAATCCTTTTGGGGCATGGGTGGTTGAGATCTTCTCCCAGATTGTTTTTCTTGTTGAGATTGATCCCGAATTTGCTCTTGCTGGTCTCAGAGTGGTGCTGGACTGGATGGCAGCATAATGAAGGGGGAAGCAGCCTCAGGAGGTCTCCAGCCCCGGCCCTGCTAAGAGTTGATCCCTTAGATCAGGTCACCCAGGACCACGTGTGGTGGAGATTTGAGTGTCTCCAAGGATAGACTCTGTACCCTCTCTGGCCCCAGATTCTGTGTGTCACCATCTTTTGTCTCCAGTGTCTATAAGAAGTTCCCTTGCTGCAGCTTGTCCTCTGCTGCTTTGTGCCCCATCAGTGCAAAGCTTTAAGGAAGGTCTGGCTCTGTCTTTGTAACCTCTTGTTAGGCATCCAGAAATGGCCAGATAATCTCCCTGATAATTACCAGCTTCTCTCCATCCATCTTACTGGGTGCTCCAGCCCCTGACTGTCTTCCCGCACTCACCCCTGTGCCTTTCTTGTCCCAGGGATCCCAAACTGGCTGCCAAGTCCCAGGTGTGGTATCGCAGGTGCCAAGTGGAGGCATTGGGATCCCTTCCCCACACCTCCTGCCTGTGGTCTTTCACCACCCAGGAGGCAGTTGACCACCTCCTCTGCAGGTTTGTGCCACCGGCTCCTGTTCAACTGCTCCACCAGTTTGCTGCAAGACTTCTTCAGCAGAGCTGCTTGCTAACCCCTAGGGTACATCCATCCCAGTGCAGGGCTTTGTATTTACCCCTGTTGAACTTCAGGGGCTTCACTGCAGCCTGGTGAGCTCTCTCTGAGGAGCGGCCTTGCCACCAACATTCCAACTGCCCTGCTGACAAAGATGTTAAGCAGTTTGGGTCCAGATCAGGGCTCCAGACATCTCTTTGAGGAGCTTGAAATGGAATTGCATGGCTCGAAAAGGAATTAGCTTTACCACCCAAACAGGGTGAGTGCTGATGGCTGCGTGCTTCTGCTGTTTGCGTGCTGCTGTTGGAGGCAGGTTTGCTGGCCCCAGAGCCTCTCCTGGGACAGGAGAGCTATTAACTCTTCTGTGCCCTCTGCCTTTTGGCAACAGCATGTGTTGTTATGTGGAGATAATTGTACCATGGTCACGCCAACATTATGAGTACCCAAGGTCAGCAGCTCTCTTGGCTCGAGTTTGAAAAACATATGAAGGAGGGTAGTGCTGCCCATGTACTCGGTGAGCTGATGAGCCATGCACAAATAACCTCTGTCTTGGCTCCTGGCTGCTTGAATCCTTTCTGTTCATCTTCTGAAAGTCAGGAGCTGATGAAAGTAGCTTTTTCCTGCCCTCCCAGCATGTGATTCCCTCATGCTGGACAAGACAGGGGCCAGCTCTGCTCATAGTGACAGAGGGATGCCAGGACTTGAGGGGGCATATTAAAAACACGATGCTTGTGTTTTTGGAAGCTCAGGTTCAACTGAAGCTCCTTTGCTCCTTTCCCTTCATCTGTGCTTGGGTCCTACTGCTGCCTAATCTGTTGGGAGTGGAGCTGCAGTGCCCTCCTGGCCTCTTGCTCCGTAGGGAAGGGATGGAGACAGGGGTTGTCACCATTTCAGGCACGTCTGGTCTTTTTGTGGACACCCTGGCTAGCAGAAGAATTTTCCTGAAGTACTGGTCCTGTCTGAGGGCTTGGTGCCTGAGGTCTGAGCCCAGGCGTGAGCATGAGTGACTGCTTCCATCTTGTTGCCTTTATCTTGCCCTATACATGTGGCACTTAAGGGAGCCTTTAATCTTTGTTCTTCCTGGAGCCGGATGCAGGTGGGTTCCCTTGGCAGGTCTCAGTTTTGTCCCAGCCAGGGTTTCAGGGTGAGTACCATGTCCTTCCCATCTCCGTAGGACATTTGGATCCCAGCTGGGACTGCTGCTGCCACCAGAGCAGCTGAGCTCCAGCAGGCACTGAAACTGGCAGCTCCTGACTCTGTGTAAATTCCCATCCACATCCCCCAGGGAGGTGGCAGCTTTTAGTGTGCCCAGCTCACAGCAGTCTGCTCTGTTTGCTGGGATAAAGGTCCACCAGGATCCTTTCCATGGCGGTTGTGGAGCCATCACAGACCAGAAACAAAGCCCAGGCTGGTCTCCCCAAACTAGTGTTCAAAAGCAGTTGTGTAGAGCACTTTGTGCTCAGCCCTTCCTATGGGCTCAGGCTACTGGGGACAAAACAGCACTGAAGAGGGTTTGAGGAGCGGAGGTAATACCTGCCTGCAGGTCAGGGGGTGAATGGGAACATGGAGCAGACAGAGAAATGGGAAAATAGGTCAGGCTGCAGGCACAAAGGGATATTCTTCATCTGCAATGATGTGTGTGGCTCCTGGCTGCTCTGGCCTTCATGTTCCAGATGGGATTGGTGGGGGATTAAAGCAGCAGGGGCTCTATCTGGGATCTGCGAGCTTGCTGGTACAGAGGGACCGACATGGCAGGGCCCTGCTGCTGCTCACCATCCTGCTTTTATTCTCCAGTCCTTAAGCCAGACAGCTGGGAGGGGTGAGGCTCCAGAGGGGAAGATCAGGTTGTTGAGAAATGGTGTTTGGGCTGTGCTTAGTGATGGTGCTGCTTGCACCCTTGTGCACCCTGGTGTTTCACAACAGCAGAGGGGTGATGGCAGCGTGCTGCTTCTGCTGGGTCTCTCACAGCACCGCCCCACTGGAGCTTGGCTCCGTGTAGCCCAGGCCCTTTCCTGCATTGGCCAGATAAGAAGTGCCCTAAAGAGTTTGAAAGCTCCCGTGTGATGCAATTGTGCTGCCAGTAACCAGCCCAAGTGGTCACCAGTGAAAGGAGAACCTGCTGCCTGGGGGAGATGCAAATGCTTCTTCCCATCACTGTGCTGGGAAGGCACTGGTGCTGCTGCATGGGAGCAGCGTGCCCCGCTTCCTCCAGTGTGCATCAGCTGGCAGCCAGCCCAGCCATCGCTTCAGTCCTGGCTGCTGGGGGGGAGATGGACACGCCTATGTGTTCATTTCCCTGGCTGGGAACTGCTCCCATGGAGTGGATGGCAGAGCCAAATGTGCCCTTGGCCATCCATTATTCCTGTCTGGGTGCGTGAGCTGAGGGTGGCCCCAGCGTATCTTTGTGTGCTTGTGACTTTGGAGATGGAGCTTTCTGCTCAGGGGATCTGTCCATGCCCTGCTCCAGGGGAGTGTGGAGCGTGCTGCTTGGCACAGGTCTGCTGGGGTACCCACTCGTTGGCAGAGGCTGTTGGTGACTCTTGCCAGCTCTCAGGGCTGCCAGTCCCAAGCGAGCTGCTGCTGTCTGGCACTTCCCTGGTGAGCCAGCTCTGCCAGCCAGCAGGCTGGAGCAGCTTGCCCCAACCCTGGCAGGCTGCTGTTGCTTGTGCTCCTCTGGGGTCCCACCTCCTCAGGGTGCCCTCCAAGAGCAGTCCTCTGCAGGTGCTGGACCTCTGAGGCTCTGGTGGTGGCAGGCAGAGCTCAGCAAGGGGAACTGAGCATGAGCACCCATGTGCCTGCTCCTTCCTCCTGCCAGGGCTGGCAACACATTCAGGAGTTGACCCCTCTTTCCTTTCTCCCCTCAGCTCACTCCTTCCTCCTTCCTGCGCATTGGGCAGCTAAGCAATGTGGACCTCAACGAGGATGTCCGTGAGCTGGTGAGTGGCATAGAAAGGGGCCCATTGTTACCAAGCCCCCTTCCCTTCTTCCACTGGCAGCACTTAAAACTGCTATTATTCCCCTCATCACATCCCACTTCTTCCACGAGGGCTCCAGTGCTTAGTATTGGTAGCTCCCTGCTGCTCTGCCCTCTGCCTTAACCCTTGCTACTTCCCCTTATCTGAGGAAAGCTGGCCCAAGGACAGCATCTCTTTGGGTGGCAGCACAAGGGCCATAAGTGGGTCTGATGGGAAGGGATTTCTTCCTTGTTGACATGATTGCTCCTTAAAGCTGCTTCTCCTGCTGCCCAGCTCAGAATGAAGTATGACAGCAGCCGGGGGAAGGTGTCTCAGCCGTGGGGACAGGGTTAGTGATAGAGAGGGCATCTTGCAGAAATACTCAGATTTCAACTTATTCCCCCTCCCACCTGCACACATGAAAAGCTTTTCTTCCCTGGATGCTTCTGCTTCAGCTCCGGAGCTGTAGAAGGATCAAATGAGAAGACTTTTGCTAAATATTTCTTGTGGAATGCTTAAATGGGAAGGAACATGCCTTAATCCAGTCCCTCAGAGGACAGGCTGGGCCTGCTTTGGCCATAGCTGTAATGCAGGCCCAGGGAAGGGTGCGGGGTGCCACTACCCCAGGGGCGCCTCCAGCATCCTCAGTAAATGCCCTAATTTGGAGCTGGGAACAGTTTGCACAGTCAAAGGTGTTTGGGAATCAGAATTTGGTTTCTGCCCAAACCCATGGTTTGAAATAGCTGCTTGAAATAGCTCCTTGCTTTCGGCTGAAGGAATTTCCTGCCGAGGTGAAAGGTTGCCCTCCTCTGGAGTGTGGAGCTGCTTGGAGGCAGTGCTGGATCAACATGGCAGTGTGGTACCTGGCTGGGCAATCTCTCCGTCTGCTCATGGGGAAGAGTCCCTCCTGAGGGTGGATGAGGGCGTACACCTCACAGCCTGTTCCAGCTGCCTTAAATCCCATACATCCACCAGCTGGTAGAAAATCATCCCAGATCCCAGCCTGCCAGCAGCTTGCGCTCTGCAGTCCTCCTGCCTCTCCTGAGCATGAAAACTAGTGTTAAACCAGCAGTTATGTGCCAGAGGAGACGGCTGGACTGGGACCTGGCTGTCCTGACTTATGCATCACATCCCGCAGGAGACAGAGCTCCCTCGTCAGCGTCCCAATGAGATCCCCCACAACGAGAAGCTCCTGTCGCTCAAGTATGAGGTAAGTGCCCTCTGGGATGCAGTGGATGAGGTACATGGATGAAGTACATGGATGAGGGCTGTGGCTGCCCAGCTGAGGGGTTTCAGTGGAGAAGCAGCTGGTTTGAGGGAGGAAATGACATGAGGGTGTGCAGAGGCAAGGGTGAGGGCCTGAGGGCAGCCCTCCCCAGAACAGGTGTCTGTTCCCCTGTGCTAGAGAGTAACAGCATTTCCCTTTCCTGATGTAGAGCTTGGACTATGACAACAGTGAAAATCAGCTGTTCCTGGAGGAGGAGAGGAGGATAAACCACACAGTGAGTCTTGCCCACTGACCCTGTGGCTGGGATAGCCCAGGAAGCTGTTCCCCCTTCCTGGCTCCTGGGGAGCTTCTCCATGCCAGAGGAGGTTGTGCTCAGAGCAGTGCTTGAGCCAGGGTGGGTTTAAAGATAGGCCAACTTGTGACAAGCCTTAAAACCTCAGGAGCAAGGACCCAGCACAGGATGGTTCAGATGGGAGCTAGCCTGCATGTACATGGTAGCCAATGGCATGGGGTAGGTCCCTGAGCAGAGGGACTTCTGGAGGAACATGAAACATCTGCCCTGGGGGCTTTGGGAGACTTGCTGCAGCAAGAAGCTGAACGGGAGGGGCCTGACAGAGGCAGACAAGCTGGAAAAGCCGCCTGCTGTTGGGGATCCCACAGAGGGGCACTGCCAGGCTTTGCAATCCTGGGTGAGCCAGCGTTGGCTTTCCAGCTCCTAGGAGAGCTGCCGGGCTTGGAGCTGTGCTGGGGAAGGTGGCTGGGTGGGTTGGGGTCCCCCTGTTGCTGGCAGGGCCCGGGCTAGGCAGCAGTGGGCTCTGATGGCTCTGTGCCCCTCAGGCTTTCCGGACAGTGGAGATCAAGCGCTGGGTCATCTGTGCCATGATCGGCATCCTCACCGGCCTCGTCGCCTGCTTCATTGACATCGTGGTGGAGAACCTGGCTGGGCTGAAGTACCGGGTGGTGAAAGGCAGTATCCTCCCATGGAGCCATAGCCATCAGCCAGCCGGGGCTGCGGGATCTGTGCTCCTGGTGCCTGCAAGAAGGGTGCTGGGGAAGAGGACAGCACTTCCTTGCCTGGGTTTGGTGGCACAGACCCTGCCACCCAAAGTGCTGCCGTGTGCCTGGCTGCTCTGCAGTGCTGAGCTGTGCCTGGGCACTGCTGTAACAGGGGAGGCTCCTTGCAGCAGCCCTAAGTGCATAGGATCTGCTGTGCTGGCACAGCCTGAGAAGCATTTTTGCTCGCATTCTCATGGTGGGAGGGATGGTACCCAACCAACACTGGTCTTTCCTTGAGCTGCTTCCACAGACATCGATAAGTTCACAGAGAAAGGGGGCCTGTCTTTCTCCCTGCTACTCTGGGCCACCCTGAATGCCAGTGTGGTGATGGTGGGCTCTGTGATCGTTGCTTTCATAGAGGTAAGAGTTTGGGACCAGTCTGGATTGGTGTTTCCTTGTGCTTCCTGCCCCAGTTCTTTACATGGGGAAGCAAGATCGTCTCCAGAAAACATACAGATTCATGTAATAGCAAATGTATTTCTGCAAGACTGGCTCTTGGTAGACCCCAGCATTGGCTCTATGTGGGCTGTGGGGTTTCTCTGCGGTTGTCAGACTGACACTGCTGAGCCAGGAGCCTGGGGCAGAGGGTGTGCTCCAGAGACTGGGGCCGGCTATGACTGGGAGTAGGCAATGGCTCCCTACAGGCCACTCAGTCAGCAGTAAGCTTTGTGGCTTTTGCCCTTGCTCTCTCTGGCCACCAAGTGTGAGCCTTCTGCAGCACTGAGCCCTTGGCCATGGCACGGTGATGGGAACACCCTAGTGTCCCCCCAAAAAACCCAGCCAGATCCTTCTCCCTGTCACATTTGCCCTTAGGGGCAATGAGTGCCTCTCTGAAGCCCACCTCCAGAGGTAGATAGTCTTTGGCCTCATCTCTGAGCCTCCCTGAGGTTGTGCTTGGTGTGCCCTGGGCAGAGAGACAGGGTTAAGGTGGCCAGTGTGTCCCCATGCTGTATGTGGCAGCCACTCATGCTCTCCGTGCTCCCCACAGCCTGTCGCAGCTGGCAGCGGCATTCCCCAGATCAAATGCTATCTCAATGGTGTGAAGATCCCGCACGTTGTCCGCCTCAAGGTAGGAAGCAGGAGGCGGTGGGCTGTGTGCCTTCTGCTCTTGGGGGTGGTTCTGCTGTACTGAGGCAGAGGAGGAGCTGGCCCAAGTTCCTGGCTTTCTTGCTGCACTGCTCAGCTCCATAGCTGTTCCCCCCAGTGCTGGGTGATTAAACCTCCTGCCCTGGGATGAGCCAGGATCCCCTGGCTTTGGGGAGAGCATCTTTGTGTAACTTTTTCCTCTGTCCAAGCAGGAAGTTGGCCAAACCCCATAGCCACAACAGGGGGCTGAGAGTCACTCCCTGGGGTCACTGCTTCCTGTGGCTGGTTGGGTCTGTGTCACCCATGGCTGCCATGGTCATGTGTGCTGTGCCATGCTGTGCTGAGCCTGTCATCTCTATTTTGCAGACCCTGGTGATCAAAGTTTGTGGAGTCATCCTCTCGGTGGTCGGCGGCCTGGCTGTTGGGAAGGTGATGTGCACAAAGCGATCTCTGGCATGCTGCTGCCATGTTGTCACCCACTGCTGGCGCACGTGATGCAGCCCATTGCCAGCCCTATGCTAGGGGCCCTGCAATGACTTCCTGGTTTTATTCCCTGGTCTGCTGGCCAAGGTGACACCCTGGTGTGTGTGGTGCCACCAAGCCAGGCTGTGTGTGGCTGGGCTGAGGGCAGAAGAGCAGTAGTCCACATCCATCAGTAGTTGTCCCTGCAAATGTTAGATAGGGGAGACCTGGGTGCCCTATTGGAGCCTTTCTAGCTTGCTGGGATTGAAGGCAAGCGAGGGAAGTTCCTGCCTCCTGGGCTGGAGGGAGTGCTGGTGAGAACAGGAGGTGGCCACAGGAACCCCTTCACAGAATGAGGATTTAAGGGGGCAAAATGGAAAGGTCTGTATTTCCTGGAGGCAGATCCTCCTGCCAGATTCTTCAGGGTTGCAACCCAGTAAGCAGCATTCATTCATCCCTGACTGTCCTTGGGGTTCTTCCTTATCCAATCTAACTCTTCTCTACTGCCTACAGGAAGGACCCATGATTCACTCTGGAGCAGTGATTGCTGCCGGGATCTCCCAGGGGAGATCCACATCTTTAAAGCGAGACTTCAAGGTTGGTGTTGAGGGCCAAGGGGCTGTGCTGCAGATGACCCTCCTGTGCCCAAACGGGGCTGTTCCTTGGGGTCATGCTGGTGGCTTGGATCATATATGGCCTACGCTGTGTCTGCACTAAAGTCATTCCTGTGGCCAGCCCTAAACCTGCCTTTGCTTTGGTGTTTCAGATCTTCGAGTACTTCCGCAGAGACACAGAGAAGAGGGACTTTGTCTCAGCTGGAGCTGCTGCTGGTGTCTCAGCTGCGTTTGGTGCCCCTGTGGGTATGTGTGTTGGCTGTCTGACACTGACAGTGCCTGCATGTGCATCTCATCAAGAGGTGGCTCCCACTTGCACAGAGACGGCTGCTAGGATCTGCCTATGGCACTGCAGGAGCCCTCCCACAGCATGCCCAGCTCCACAGCAAACTGTCCAGCCATGCCACAGGCCTTAGGAAGAGAGGAGGTGTGGGGTCATCTGTCTTGGATCCCAGATGTTTCTTTCCTGGGATGGAGGAGGGCAGTGGAGGGTACTGCCCCATCACTGATGGCTTGGTGGGCTTCTGGTCCCTTCACTGGAGCCTCTGAGGTCTGGGGCTGTATGGGGCACATGGGTTGGGATGAATTTAGGTGCCTCAGCTGCTGCTGTGGGTTAGGGGTCTGTGGCATGTGCCCCTTGTGAAGGTGTTTGTGTCTTGCATTTGCAGGCGGTGTCCTCTTCAGCTTGGAGGAAGGGGCTTCCTTCTGGAACCAGTTCTTGACGTGGAGAATTGTAAGTGCTGGAAAGCCGAAGCAGTAAATTGAGGGCTGCAGTGTGAGGCCTTGCCTTTTCCCCATGACCTGCAGTCCCAGCCTCCTGCCATCCTTATCCCAGCCAGGCAGCCATGTGTAACAAATCCCAGGAACAGCATCCCATTCCCCTTCTGTGCCCTGGTCCTCAGCTTGAATTTAGTCCTGGCTTAGCTCCATCTTGCTGCCAGTCCCTTCCCAAGGGACCTCCTTGGGCTGTGCCCCAGGGCAATGGAGAGGTAACAGGAGTAAGCCCCTGGCTGGTGTAAGCTGCCCAGAGTGCTGCCACAGGGAGTGTGGCTTCTTGGTTCCCACTGTGGTACCAAGCTCTTCCTAAGTGCCTTGGAGGGGCAGTTTGGGGAAAGGGGGGGGGTGGGGCAGCGCAGCACACGGTGAGGGAGTGGGGTTGGGGGTGTCTGGCAGTGACTGTGGGCTGCATCTCCTTCCAGTTCTTTGCCTCCATGATCTCCACATTCACTCTGAACTCTGTCCTGAGTGTTTACCACGGCAATGCCTGGGATCTCTCCAGCCCTGGGCTCATCAACTTTGGCAGGTTTGATAATGAGGTACGGCATAGATGTTCCCCATGTAGGGCTCTGCTGTGGGGGTTAGAAGCAGCCCGCAGCAGCTTGGGGCTGTTTTAAAGCATCACCCAGAGGCTGAGGCATGCTCTGCCCTCGCAGGCTGTGGGTATGGCCAGAGCCCAGCTCCACCAACCCCAGCAGAAGCCTTTCCTGCAGCCATGGCTGGGCCTGGGGCTGTGGAGTGCCCATGGGAGGCTTTGGGGCAGCTCTGGGGACTACAGGCCTGTGCTGTCCCAGCAGTGACCAGCTGTGGGGCTGCAGATGGGCTAGGAGACCTGAAATCCATTTCTTGCTTGCAGAAAATGGGATACACAATCCAGGAAATTCCTATCTTCATCTTTATGGGAGTGGTTGGTAAGAGAGTGATGCTCTTTCAATTTGATTTGTCTGAATAATTTCCTCTGTTCTCTGTCTGAGTCTTAAAAGCTTTGGGATAGAGTTTCTGAGGGAGAATGGGAAATGCATTAAACTTTGGAGCACAGGCTGCTTGTGGGGCTTACATGGGGGTGAGAGCTGGATCCTGGCCCAAGCTTTACCCCTGTAGCAAAGGCAGGCCCTTTAATCCATATACTGCAGAGTCACTGAGGTTAGTGCATTGCAGTCGTGGGCAGCTCTTGGCTTTCCAACTGCCCTTACCCCTGTGGAGTTGGCCTGTCCCTTGCTTGCCTAGTGCCAGCACTGTGACACCGGCCCCAGCCATCCTGCTGCTGCTGTGGGGCTCCTCTTGGTGTCAGGTCCTGCCTGTCTGTGCAGGGACAGTGTCCACATGTCCCAGTGCTGCCATCACACTGGAGGGGTTGTTGGTGTCTCCCTGAGCTTTATAGGTTCCTTGTGTCCTGGGCAGCCATAGGAGAGCCTGGGACTCATGTACTGAGCTTTTGCTTCTTCATTTGCAGGTGGGATCCTCGGAGCCCTGTTCAATGCCCTCAATTACTGGTTAACGATGTTCCGGATCAGGTAAGAGCTCACAGGTAACTGAGGTGATTGACATGGGTTGGCTGGCACCTTCTGTGTGTCCTCGAAGTGGCACTTCCAGCCAGAGCAAGGCCGTTATCTCACGCTTAAGCAACAGCAGCCCTGGAAGCTGGGGGCAAAGATGCCATGTTCCTCTCGCTGCCTGCTGTCAAGGCTGTGACCCACAACTTCCCACTGTTGCTCTGACCTTGCCTAGGTATTGTGGTTTAGTGACTTGAGGGCCCGAAAAGGTGCAAACACTGAGCATACACGGTTCTGAGAGTAACGAGATTGCTGCTAAAGCCATTCAAGCCCAGTCTGGTGCAGCCAATACTTGTCACCAGCTTTTCAAACACGAGGACTGGCTTCGTGGCCTCGAGGATTGATGACCCGTGGAGTGGTGAAGGGCCTGCAGCATCTTCCAGTGCTTCACTCCTCTTGGCCTTTCTGGGCTGCAGCTTTCTGGGCTCAGCTCTGCACTGTCCACATGGCCAAACAACACCAAGCTTCCCATAGGATCTGTGCCTGGCTCTGGGCAGGGAAGACAGGCAGGTCTGTTATGGCTGGCTGGGCAGAGCTGATCTTGCTGCTGGCCTCCCAGTGCAGTCCCCATGACTGCTTCACCAGAGGACAGAGCGCAGGACAGCCTGGCAGGGTGTGGGAAGGAAGCAGCCTGTCCATATGCCCAATGTAGGGTGCCAAGCCAGGCTGTGGGTGATCCTGTTGGCACCCCTGGGTGTCACCCTCACTCCTCTGCTCCCTTTGCAGGTACATCCACCGGCCCTGCCTCCAGGTGGTTGAGGCCATGCTGGTGGCAGCAGTGACAGCAACTGTGGGGTTTGTCATGATTTACTGCTCGAGAGACTGCCAGCCCATCCAGGGGAGCACAGTGGCATACCCGCTGCAGGTAGGAGATGCTGGAGAATGGCTCCCCCGTGTGGGGGGCACCCTGAGCTTGGTCTGAAGCTGGAGGCTGAGCAGGGAGACAAGACCCTGCTGGGTTTTGTGGCACTGGACCTCACAGCGAGTGCTCCCAGTGGCAGGCAGAGCTGCAGAGCAAAGTCTGGTGTTGCTGTGCTTGCTGCACAGTGCTGGCTCCTTGCTAGCACACGTCCCCCTGAGCCTGCAGCCTTGGCAGCCTGGATCTGCCACTTCTAACTCTGTCTTCTTCCCCCTTCAGCTTTTCTGTGCTGATGGAGAGTACAACTCCATGGCCACTGCTTTCTTCAACACACCTGAGAAGAGTGTTGTCAACCTCTTCCATGATGCTCCAGGTCTGTGTGTCTAGTGAACAGGTCCTTGAATGTGAGCAGAATGGGGGTGGGCTTGTGCGAAGTGGCTGACCTGCTTCCTGGTTGCTCGTGGGACAAGGCAGGGGCTAATCAGCACAGCACCCTGAGGGCAGGATGGGATCCAACAAAGCACTGTGCCCACTGCTTTCCTGCAGTGGTGGAAGAAGGAAGGATGGATGCTGAACTGGTGGCACCTGTGAGCTCAGCCAAAGGGCCATGGTCTTGGGAGCCTGTGGATGAGGACCTGTTTTTGTTGCATGTTTCCCAGCTGTTGCTTTTGAATTGCATGGGAGCATGTCTGACCCTTGCTGCTGTCTGAGCTCCGTCCTAGAAACGTCCCTGGCTGTTTTCTCCATTAGCAGAGCCTCTTGCCCCAGAATGACTTTACCTTCTGGGCAGGCTGTGGAGGTGGATCTTGAGGTTTGGACTTGCTTGAGAAATGCAATTTGGCTCCCAGGTTCCAGCTCCTGTTTCCCTTGGACCTAGTGTTGTGACAGCGTGCCCTCTGCCTGCTGGTCTAGGTTTCGTGCCCAACTACACATGGACAGGGAGCAGACAGCTCCATGTTTCTAAATCCTCAGCCCAGAGAGTGTGGCTTGGCCATCTGAAGTCAAGTGATGACCGTCCTGTGTCTTGGGGCTGCTTCCTGCAGTGCTGGGCCCTCTGTGGCTCAGGGCTTTGGTTTCTTGACCTCCCTGTGAAGGAGAGGTTGCAAAGTACTCGTTTAAACCAGACTGAGCTGTTCAGCAATCCTAAAATAGCAGCTGGCTGAGTCCTGAGGTCTCCCTGTGATGGCACAGCCTGTGCTGAGGGGCAGCTTGGGGCTGGTTGAAGCAGCCATGGGAGCTGTGGGATCGGATGGGGTTTGTAAGACGAACCCTGCTGAGTTCATCCCAGGGCTGGCAGCAGGACTCCTGCCAGCTCCCCAGTACCTCTGTCGTCCAGCACTGGCTTTCCCTGGGGGCTTTGGAGTTCGTCACCATGCCTTGTGGGAGGCTGGGAACCACGGGGCTGGGAGGGAATGGATCATCATGGGTCACAAGATGAAGGGAAGGCATGTGCTGGATTCAGTGGGATGGGATGGCTTGGGATGGCGCTGGCTGGCAGGGACTTTGAGGGACAGAAATAACTTAAAGAGCTGGTTTGAAACACTCATGCTGCCAGGATGGCAGAGGGTCTCTTGTTGCTGGGAGTGTGTTGTGGGGCTGCTGCTGTCTGTTCTATGGCTGTAATCCATCGTGCTGCAGGACCAGCACTAACTCCATTCTCTCTCCACCTCAGGTTCCTATAACCCCATGACCCTGGGCATGTTCACACTGATGTATTTCTTCCTGGCCTGCTGGACCTATGGCCTCACAGTGTCCGCGGGGGTCTTCATCCCCTCCCTGCTGATCGGCGCTGCCTGGGGAAGGCTCTTTGGCATCTCCCTGTCCTACCTGACCAAAGGCTCGGTGAGTTGCTGATGGGAAGGGGTGCTGGGCAGTGGAAGCCATGGCACCCAGCCCTCCTCCCTTGCCTCTGGGCAAGAGGCATGTGCAGGCAGCATGGAGCTGGCTGAGAACTTGGCACAGCAGTCTGGAATGGGATGCCTTCCTGAGCTGAAACTGGGCTTTCCCATGTCCCAGTGGGGCCCTGCCAGCTGCTGGGTCATGCAGGCAGCCTCAGGCATTCCTCCCCACTTCTTGGAGGGAGGGAGGGGGCCAGGGCACTGCTCACTATCTCTGGGTGCCCTGGAGCCAGCAGCTGACTCAGCCTCTTCTCCCTCCTGTGCTCAGATCTGGGCTGACCCGGGGAAATACGCCCTGATGGGAGCTGCTGCACAGCTGGGTGAGTGCCTGCTCGAGTAGGGGTGAAGGTGGCATGGGAAAAGGTGGTCCCTGCTTCCCTGGCTGAAGCCCAGCCTTGCTGTCAGCTTCTCAGCTACCCTTCCAAGCGCAGGCAGCACTGGGGCGCTAGTGAGGTCTGGGCTTGTCCAGGGCACCCCTGTCTATGTTGGCAATCCTGGATCGCTGTGCAGAGACTTGGGCACCTTTGGTGTTCTGCTATACCATCACCCCATGTTTCCCTGCTTTCCTGAAGTCCTAAACCCCTTGGGTGTCTCCTGCAGGTGGGATAGTGCGGATGACACTGAGTCTCACAGTCATCATGATGGAGGCAACAGGCAATGTTACCTATGGCTTCCCCATCATGCTGGTGCTGATGACAGCAAAGATTGTGGGAGACTACTTTGTGGAGGTGAGAGCTGGTGTGCTCGCCAGGGTCAGGTTTGGTGGTGCTGGGGGGCCAAGGACAAGTGGTGTCCTCTCTCCGAGGTGAGCTGCCGTACTCCTTAGCATCTCAGCAGGCTTTTCCTGATGGCTTGGCTCTCATTGCAGGGGCTGTATGACATGCACATCCAGCTGCAGAGCGTGCCTTTCCTGCACTGGGAGGCCCCGGTGACGTCCCACTCCCTCACAGCCAGGTAGATGCCTGGGGGATGCTGCCAATCCTGGGGCAGTGGCTTTTGGACCACGCTGTTGGCCTGAGCTGGCAGTAGAGGTGGTGACACACTTTGGTCACTGCTGTGTGGTGCCACCAGCCCAGCTCATTCCCTAGCAGGGAGTGTGGCCAGCGGTGCATTCCCTCCCCGTGTCTCTGGCAGGCTCTGGGGACAGGGGAGGCATCAGGGCTGCAGAGGCCTGTGTGCGGGAGGGGGGGGGTATTTGGGGCATGCTGCATGTGGGGCTGTGTTTCACACTGAGCCTTCCCCGCAGGGAGGTCATGAGTGCTCCTGTCACCTGCCTGCGGAGGATCGAGCGGGTGGGCACAGTTGTGGACATCCTCAGCGACACCTCCTCCAACCACAACGGCTTCCCGGTGGTGGAGAGCAACCCTGGCACCACGCAGGTGAGCCAGGAGCCGCTTGTGAGAGCTGGCCATGGGACGGGACCCTCGCCCTTGCCCCATCCCCTTCCCAGCCCTCTCTCATGCACCGTGCTCTGTCACAGGTGGCAGGACTGCGGGGTCTGATCCTACGTTCCCAGCTCATCGTTCTGTTGAAGCACAAGGTGGGTGATGCTGCGTGGCCATTGGACCTGTGTCTGAGCCCTGGTGCCCCTGTCCTGCCTGTCTTGCTAAACAGGAGCTGGTGGATGGTCCCTGTCACCAACCTCAGCTTACCTGAGGAGAGGGTGGGGGCTTCCGTGCAGTGCTGGGGTTACTCCAGCATCTTCCTGCACCCCACTGGGTTTACAAGCCCTTGAGTGAATGGGACACAGTTCTTCTGCAGATGGTCCATCTGCCCCATGTTCCTGCCCTCTTCCCTCCCTCCCCTGTACATCGCCCTGGTGCCTGTTGGTGCTGCAGGATGGTCCCCAACAGTCTCTTTCCTCCCCAGGTTTTTGTGGAAAGGGCCAACCTCAGCCTGGTGCAGCGGCGGCTGAAGCTGAAGGATTTCCGGGATGCCTACCCCCGCTTCCCCCCCATCCAGTCCATCCATGTGTCCCAGGATGAGCGCGAGTGCATGATTGACCTCAGCGAGTTCATGAACCCCTCGCCCTACACTGTGCCCCAGGTAATGGCCAGGGATCCTTGGGCCACCCTAGCATCCTGGGGGTCATGGGTGAGTGACAGCTGCTGGCTGGGGATGACACAGCCCATGTATCCCCTCTGACATGCAGGAGGCATCTCTGCCACGGGTGTTCAAGCTCTTCCGAGCCCTGGGCCTACGGCACTTGGTGGTCGTGAACAATCGCAATGAGGTGAGTCCTGCTCACTGGGTATGGGCAGCCAGGGCTTGTCCACGAGCTCTGCCTGCCAGCGCGGGGCTGTACTGTGTCCCTGTCCTGGCAGGTGGTGGGCATGGTCACCCGCAAGGACCTTGCCAGGTACCGGCTGGGCAAGGAAGGCTTGGAGGAGCTCTCACTGGCACAGACGTGATGTGGGGTGGCTCTGCCCAGCGGAGGGAGACTCACCCTGGCCCCTCGGAGCTGGGGCCCCCTTTTGCAGGAGGCAGGGAGAGGCTTGGGCCGGCCTGTGCAGGCATTGTGGTGCCTGGAGCACCAGCACGGACGTGCTGCCCTGGCTCTCCTGCCCATTGCTGCCTTCCCACATCTACTGCCTCCTCTTCTCACCTTTTCCTTTGCTTCCCTGAGGGGTCAAAACGCACCCTTGGCTCCATTAGCTGCTGACATAGGCTTTCCCTGAGGGTTGTGAAGGCTGGAGTGTGCCAGGGGAGTGGAAGTGTCCTGAGCTGGGCATAACCCTCTGCCACAGCACATGGCCTCCATTGCCTCGCCTACCCAGCCCAGGCTCTCTGGGACCTAGCCCTGCCCTGGCCCCTGCCACAGGGTCTGTGTGAGGAGCAGGGGGACATGGTGGGGTCCCTCCTGCTTCCAGGGCTGTGTCCTGCTGCCCCATGCTGCTGCTGGTGGGGTTGAGCTGAGCCATGGGGCAGGTGCTTGTGTCTCTGCCATGCTCAACTGTGCAATAAAAGGGGCTCCTGTGGTTCAGAGCTGCTCCCTTTTGCTGTTTTTTGACTCCCTTGGCCAAACTCTGACCCTAACACACATGTTGGGGGGAAACTCCTGGGGTTTGGGCAGGGATGGGTAGGGGAGAGCTGCCTGCTCTGGGGCAGCCTGTGCCACTCTGCCACTCCTGCCCTCCTCCCACTGCTGCTGCTGCCTCTCACCTCTGCCCATGCTGGGGTCCAGAAGCACTCCTGCATGTGTTTCCAGCCCTTTCCAGCAGCCTGGGCCAGGCTAGGCACCCCAAAGACCACCATCAGCCCTGATCTGGCCAGGGGCTGGAAGCACTCCCTTGGGTGCTGAGGAGGGCTCCAGCCCTGGCACCTCAGCTCCCCTATCTCCCACCATTGTACTCCTCACCTTGGCATTGCACCCTGCATCCTCCTCACTCAGGCAAAGGCAACCTGGTGCCTGGAGGGGCTTTCAACTGTGGGATACTGTGCTGAAATAAAGCCTGTTTGTACTTTTACTGTGCTGCTGCCTGGCTCTTGCTTCCATTCCCCTGATGCCACTTTCTGGCCTTAGCACTGTAATGTGTGGGGTTTGTTCATCAAGAAGTTTGGGGGGAGGGAGGCTCTCTGGCTGTCGTTATGTGAAACAATACTCTTTTTGACTCTGTAACTGTTGTACTCTGTAGGTAATGGGGGGAGGTCAGTTGTATTGTTGCACGGGATGGTGAGAGAGAAAAGGGGGCTGGGTGGCTCGAAGTGGTGTCTTGTTGCAACGCTTGAGGGGACTGGGCTGCGACGGTGAGGAGGCTGGAGGCTGGCAGTGGACGCTTCTCGAAGCCTCTGGCAGCTTCTCGAAACTTCCCGAAACTTCTCAGTAATGAGACCCCTGCAACAAAGGGAACCAATGGGGAAGAGCCATGTCAACATCCGAGTGAGGAGGGGCGACAGGATTGGCCGGGGCCTTGAACCCGAGAAGATAAAGGACCGCCTCCCAGGGACCGCGTGTGCGCGTCTTGGGTGGGGCAGAGGACTCGCCGGTGCACCTAGCGCTGTTTTATCTGCTCTTGCTTACTCAGTTTAATAAAATTTATACTTTAAACCAAAATTGGCTACAATATTGATAACAAGGGGGCTGCATGTTGGGGGGCTGCAGGGGGTGATGCCAGTGCCCTACATCTTCATCAGCCCCTGGCAGGGCTCAAGGCAGGGGGTGGCTGCCCCTTCCCGAGTGCTTTTCCTTTTACGGCCAACAAAGAGCTGCCACAAAGCAGGGAATGCCTCGGCTGGGCCCTGGTAACAGCCAGGTCTGGCAGTGGGGGCTGTGAGGAAGGGCCGGCTGCCCTCCCAGCACCGGGAAATGGCCCTGCTCTCCATGTGGGTCTGGTTCCCCAGCACTGCCACGGGGCAGGGGAGCCCTGGGGTGCAGTGGGTCCTTATGGCAGTGATGGGTCCCTGCTGGGTGCTGGCAGCCGGGTGCTTTGTGAAGCCCCGCACTGCCCTTTGCCCCAGCGCAGCCGAGATAAGGGGCTGGGATGCACTGACTTGGGCTGCAGAGTAAACACGGGCTGTTGGCTCCTGCCGGCACCATGCTTCCCTCCTTTCTCTACTGCCGGGGCTGCCGGTTCCTGCCAAAGGCTGGGCTGAGCAGTGGCCCTTTGTCACCGGCGGTGGGTGGCGAAGGACACGGCACACACTGGTGCCTGGTAGGAGTCATTTATTCACTCGTCCCATGGCCGGCTCTGCCCCGGCAGCTCCAGGTGCCCGGTGCTGGCACCGCTGTTGCCAGGTTTATCATTAACCGGTGGCACGTGGCGGGGCTGGGGGCCACAGCGGGGTCACAGCCCGGCAAAGGGCTCGGCCTCCAGCCCCGGGCGGCCCGGCTCCAGCTGCAGCTCCTGCCCAGCGCCCAGCTCCGGCCCCGGCTCCACTGTCCAGTTGGCCAGGAGGTCGCTGAAGTCGGGGGTGCCGGTGTGGAGGAGGCCGGTGGGGCTGGGGCCCGGCTCCCTCCAGAAGGAGGGCGGCAGCTTCCTGCGGTGCATTGGGGTGATGTGGCCGTACTTCTTCTCCAGCCGCTGCGTCTTGCCGGTGGCCATGCGGGGCGGCAGGCACCGGTGCACGCCGTACTCGAAGAGCTCTGCCAGCGGCCCCAGCCTGTGCACGGCCCTGGGGCTGCCCCGCGGCGCCTCGGGCTGGGTGTGCCGGGGTGAGCCGCAGTCCTCAGGCACTCCGTGGCTGCCGGCGGCCTCGTCCTGGCCCCGCCGCCCAAAGTACCGCTGGATGTCACAGCTGATGAGCTCCGAGAACCGGAGGAGCTGCAGTGTGGGCTCGGCGGTGCTGAGGACATCCGGCTCCAGCCTTGTGCTCTCCTCTTCATCCTGTGCTGCCTCCTCTTCATCCTCATCCTCATCCTCGTCCTCTTCCTCGGAGAGGTCAGGGAAGTCGGGCTCAGGGCGCATGGGCAGCAGCAGGCCGTGCGGGAAGGGCGAGGGCAGCCGCAGCTCGGCTAGTGGCCGGATGATGCCTGCAGCCATGTCAGCACGCAGGGGCACCCCAGGGCCCGCGCTCACCCTGCAGGCAGGACAGCGGTGAAGGTGGCACGCACCCCACACCCGTCAACCTGCTGCACTGTGCTTGACCCTGAGGAGGCAGAGGGACCGTGTTGTGCAGTACAGCAGGCCGGGCAGGGCATCCCCCACAAGCCATGGGACATGGAGCAGCACAAATGTCCCTACCAAGCCATAGGATGCAGGGCAGTGGACACATTGCCCTGAATCACGGAACAAGGGGCAGCAGGGACACCACCCCACTGTAGGATGCCCCTACTGAGACATGCGAGATGGGGCAGCGGGAACATATCCTGAGTCATGGGATAGGGGGCAGTGGGGATATCCTAACTGAATCCTGGTGCATCAGGCAACAGGGACATCCCCATCAAGCCATGGGATGTGGGGTATTGGGGATGTCCATGCAAATCCATGCAATGTGGGACAATGGGAATGTCTCCAAGTCATTGCATGTGGGGCAGCAGGGATGTCTCCATCAATTCATGGGATGTAGGGCAGTGGGGACATCCCCTGAGGCATGAGCCAAGGGGGTAGTGGGATGTTCCCCTTCCCCCGGGCCTGTACGTGGGCTTGAATGGTGTTCAGCACCTACCCTGCCACCATGGGCTGAGCACTGGGGACACTGAGCCCTATGTGCTGCCCACACAATGGCCCCATGTGTTTCCCTGCAACAGGGTGACCGCAGCCACCTCCCTGCACTGCCCTGGTGGACTGTGGCCACAGCTGGGTCTTGTTGAGCTGGATGAGGTCCCCCATAGTTAGTGCTACCTGTGCCTATGGGTCCCCAGCTCTGCCTCACTGCAGGGCATCCCTGGCCACATGCCATTGCCCCAGCCCTGAGAGGGTCATGAGGCAGGGGACAAATCCTGGGGGACAGTTCCTTCTCCTGCCATGCCTGAGACAGCACCGCTGCCATCTCTGGGGTCACCACACATCCCTCTTTGTGCCCTCCCCACTGAGGGCCCCCCATCCCTGCCTCCATGCTGCCCTAGAGCTCAGCCTGTGCAGGCACCATGTACCTTCAGCTTGCAGGGAAAGGGACGCAGGGCTGCCCCAGTGATGGGGCCAGCCTTCCCCACAGCCACCCACAGAGGCAGAAACACCGCGGGGCAGGAGGGCATCACCCGGGGCCACGGCTCAGCACTCACCTTGGCGCTGCTGCCTGGCCATGCATAGGCTCCCGCGCCGCTCCCCTTCCCGTCCCTCCACCTGGGCCTGAAGTATTTATAGCGGAGCAGCGAGCTGACGGCTGGCAAATATTTGGTAGCTGTATTGTAATAGTAGACTCAGTAAATAGAGCCGGGGTTTGCTTTAGCACCCAGCAACGGGAGAGCGGCGCGGGGAGGGATGTGGGGACGGAAGGCAGGGCTCACCTTAATGGTTCACTAGCCAGGGGATTTTCAAGTGTTGTTCCTGTAAATTCACCTATTAAATCGGCAGCCCCAGCTGCCAAACTGCCCGCACACTTGTGCCGAGGGCTCTTATCTCCGTGCTGATTGGAGGTGAAATCAAGCTTTGTCAAATAGGCGTAAAATTGAATTTCATGCTATTTTGACTCCTGGAGTAGGGATCTTCTGAAGAACACACTGCCTATTGAGCCATGCCTCTGCAAACAGGTGCTGCCGTCTCAGTGGGTGAAGCCTCTCCATGGGGTCCCCCTTGGTGCTGTGCAGCCCCAGTGTGGGTCTGGACCTCCTATCTCCAGCTCCATGCTCCCCAAGGGAGGTGTAGGGCTCCCCAACCAGCCCCTGGATGGGGTTTGGAACCTTTTGAGGTAGCAGGAGATGGCACTTCAGGGTGCTGTGGTCCCAGGGGGCTTGGGGCTGAGTGCCCAGGGGTGGTGACTCTGGCCAGGCAGTGCCAATGGATGCAGAGATGGGGACATGACATGTGGAGAGCAGCTGGGGCAGCCCCATGGCTGGGACCAGCACCGAGGACTGCAGTGCTGATGGGCAGCCCCATGTCTCTGCTATGGGACCATGCTGGCCCACGTGAGGGACTGAGGACAATGATGATGGTGAGCAGCTCAGGTCCCAAAGCAGCTGTGGCCAGAGGCGCTGTTCTGTTTTGGCAACAGAAGTGCCAGAATGGCCATGCAGGGCACAGCTGGGGGTCACAGATGGCTGCGGTTTGGAGGTTGCTGCAGGACACAGGGTGCTGAGGACACAGATGGCCAGAGGATGCAGGACGGGTGGACAGCATGGCATGGTGGGAGCCTGACACAGCACCCAGACCCTGTGACTGCCTGTGCTGGGGACAATGGCCATCGGGGTTGGGGACATCCAGAGCCCTGCTTTGAGCTGCCCTGTCCCCTGCTCTGAGGGTGACCCCAGTTCCCGGTCTGCTCTCCCTGCCACCCTGGGCTGAGCATCCTGCACCCTGGGGCTGAGTGCGTCCCCCGGTGCTGAGGGGTGAGTCCCAGCCTGTGGCACAGCGCCGCACTGGCAAGGAGAGGGCCATGGCTGTCACCCTCCCCTCCCAGGGCAGCAGCCCTGGGGCTCCCTGCAGGGGCAGAGCCGGGCACCGGCGCCTGCTCTGGCTCCGCAGCACTCCCCCTCCCCTCTCCAAACACACTGGTAACGCCGGGGTGGCAGCAGCAGCCATCCCGCTGGAGCACTGCTGGGCAAACACGGCGAGTGGGAGCTGATAAAGCACAGCCACTCTTTGGTCTGCACCCTGATGTTACTCGCTCGCCTGCCCACAATGGCTCCACACCGCACAGCTTGGCACGGGTCTGTACGGGTTAGCACCGCTTGTTGATGGCCCTGCATGGCCTGGCACGGCTTGGCACAGCTCGGCAGCCGCTGTGGCCCGCTACTGGGCCCACACCGTCAGGCCTGGGGATGGGTGCTGGGGCACCCAGAGGCAACGCTGCTGACGGGTCCCAGCGAGGAGCCCGCTGCCCGTGCCCCCACCCGACGCCTCGGCAGCCTCCCGCTGGGGCGCGGACCCGGGGCAGGCACTCGGCCACCCTCTCCCGCAGGGCCTTGCGGTGCCAAGGCGGAGCGGCTGCTCGGCTCCGGCTCCCCTCCCCCCTCCGTCAGCCCAGCCGTGCCCCGCCCCGCCGGCGGACTACCGGTCCCGGCATGCCGCGCGGTGGCGGGAGGGGCCGTTTCCGCCCAGCGCTCGCCTCGCGTCGCCGCCGCCGCTGAGGCCGGAGCCGTCGTCGAGGCCCTCGCCGCCCAGGCCGGAGACACCTGCCCGCCGCGCCCCGCGGCACGGCCAGCGCCCGCCATGTCGGCCCAGGCCCAGATGCGGGCCCTGCTGGACCAGCTCATGGGCACGGCCCGGGACGGTGAGTAGGGGCGGGCGGGGCCTGCAGGAAACGCCGCGGCCTGGCGGCCGCCTCACCCCCGCGGAGCCCGGCGCGGCCGCTGCCTCCGCTCCGGACCTACGGCGCGATCGATCCGCTCGCGCCGGGGGACGTGGCGGGCCAGAGCCGGAGCCCCGGCCCGCCCCGCAGAGGCCTGGCCCCGGCGCCGCCGAGCGAGCGAGCGGCGCGACGGGCGGTGCCGGCGGAGCGGGCCCCGGCCTCGGCGCGCCTCTGAGCGGCCCGGCGAGCTCGGCCCAGGGAGCCCGGTAGTGGTAGGTCGCCTCGGCCCCGGCCCTAGAAAGCGCCCGGCGTGGGCTGGCCTCGGGAGGAGCCCGCCGCTCCGGGCCCTGGTTGCCGCAGAAAGAGGTGGTAGGGCAGGCTCCGTGCCCAGGCCGCGCCGTACTCACGGAGGCGTGTAGGTAGGTTGCCTGCAGGAGCCGGCCGCTGTAGATGTTGTCCAAGAAAAGAAATGACAGCCTGTGCAAAAAAATGTTCCCGCTGCCGTTTGTATCTCCCTTCTGCGCCTTGCTGAGTACTTAAATCCCCACTGACACGTTAGCAGGGCTGTGCAGGTACCTTGCACTTTGTTTCGTAAGTGAATAAGTGCTTTTCTTTCTTTGTGTATTGAGTTGCTATTGAATTGCTTCCCATATTTTTATTTCATACAAACTGAACAATTGTGGCCCCTCTATTTTATTTATAAAGGTTCAGTGTATCTTTGCCTGCCTACATCAATCTGCAAGGGAGTTGCAGAAAAGCCTCATGTTCATCGAGCCGTGAGTCACAACCAATTTTTAAAGCTGTTATAACAAAAACAAAAAAAAAGTGTTTGCTTTTTTTTTTTCACAAGTAACTTTAAAAGTGTAGCTTAGAAAGAAAAAAAATAAGAAAAAAACCCCATTTTCAGTAGACACAACATTATTCCTGGATGCTTGCGAATCCTAAACTATATTCATACTTTAGTATTACACATACCTGTGTCATATACACAGATGAGCTTTAAAATTGTCACATACCATTACCACTTTGCCTTTACTTTTATGTATCATTCCCCTGACTTCCTTACTGCAGGTGTGGGCAAGAAAACTTTTCCTTTAAAACTTTTCAACAGTGGGCATAAAATTCTGCAGCTGAGGTCTTGAAGAATGCAGATGGGTATAGTATATGTTGGAGCTCGCAGTGTGTATTGACTAACTTTATTTCTTTTTTTACTTTTAATTTCTTTGCTTTTCTGATATTGTCTTGTTTAAGTGGCTCCTGAGTGTAAAATGTCTTCTGAGGGTGGGATGCGGGTGGGAAGCACGCTTCATGTTCCAGGCCAAGACCTGCAAGATTCGTCTTTGCCTGGCCTTGGAAAGCAGACTGCAGAGTCGGTTTTCAGACCAAATGGACCGATGCTTTAATTGTCGGATGAGCAAATGCAGTCACCTGTAAAAACTGCCCAGCACAGCCCTGTTCTGTGAGTCATGGCCCTCCAGTAGCGTGGGGTTTGGTATCTCCTGCCCCTTCCTTACAGTAAAAAAGGGGGGGGGGGCATAACCCCACAAAACATAAAAGGTTTTGGCTGCGAGCCAGACTGTCTGTCTTCTTTTTTCTCCTCTGGGTGTGCTGTCTCTTTATATGGATGACAGGCCTTGGACATTACTTGGCTCGCCAGCACTGTGTTTAACATGGTATAGCGGATGACTAAATGGTAAAATAGTGTTTTTTCCCAGTTAAAAGTGTTCCAGAATATCCTGATACCCTCTAAGATTTTTTTTTTTTTTCTTGAGTAATTTTGGGGAGCAGGAGCACCAGGTATTTTAATCTGCATATTAAGGTGAAATGATCATACCAAGGTCTTTGTTCTTGAGTCAATATTCTAATGTCTCCTTATTTAAAACCACAAATGAATTTCAGGAGATGAAACCAGACAAAGGGTGAAGTTTACAGACGATCGTGTTTGCAAGAGCCACCTTCTGGATTGCTGTCCCCATGATATCCTCGCAGGAACAGTAAGTATATTCTCTGTAATAAGAAGTTCTGGGGAGGCTGATACTGGTACAACTCTTCAGGGCCCAGCTGTGCGTTGTACTTTCTAGAAGAGATCAGGCTTTCTTTGCCCAAGGAGCAGTCATAGTTCTAATTTTAGTTTGTGTGACCTGTGTATGGAACCACTCAAGTCAGGAGCTCTCAGAATTCACTTGAATCTTCTTTTTTCTCCCAGTATCACACATGAACTTACAAGATTATTTCTCTTTTAGCAGTTTGAGATGTTTAGGGCCTGAAACTTGTCTTGCAGAGGCTGCAAGACCATAGCTAGCCTGCTGTCCTGGGTGCTCTGGTTACATCTTCAGGTTAGCAAGTGTTTTCTTATGTGCTGCAATAATCATTAACCTTTGGAGCTTTTCAGTCTCCTTTTGCCAGCCGTGTCGTGTTCCCTGATGGCATGGCAGCTTTTTCGTTATTCCTGCTTGCCATGGTAATGGCAGGTTGCAGCTCAGGCTGACTTTGTCTTTAGAGTTGGTTGGTGTGAGCAGTGTGTCACTCTGCCTGACTGGTTTGAAACTGTTGGGTTGGCTCCTTTGCTGCTGCCCTCTGGGCACAGAGCTGGCTGGTTTTCAAGGGTTTGGCTCACATGCTCTCTCTGAGAGCAAAACATGATGTGGACTTTTAACAGTGGGATCTTGCTGAAGTAGGTATTCAGTTTAGGCGCCCAGATGAAAGAAGCAGTCTGACTTTCGAAAGAAAGCAATGCACATCTCTTGCAGTTGTTGCTGTGCTACAGAATTGCAGGATGGAGATGAATATGGGTGTTTAAAATCCATCTTTACCCTCCCTGTTTGAGACTAAATACTGTGGCAGTTCACATTGTCCATCCATTTAACCAGATTGTTCAAAGATACTGTCATTATTAGTAGCTCTTCCTGCTGTTATTTCAGGAGCTGGGTTTGACACAGTGGGGTTACCAGCAGTGGGAGGGCTGTCACTCCTTTCTCTGTGTGTGTCACTGTGATAGCAAGACTCTGGCAGCACTAGTAGAAAGAACTTTAGTAAAAGCTGCCTCAACTCTGAGCACTGAAACTTTGCTTTTCAATGCTATTGCAGAGTAACATTGGAAGAGTTAAATACCAATCTCTGTATCTCTTGTTTATTTGTTATTAATTTGAAGCTCAGATGTATTTTTCAGCCATCAGCCTCCGTATCACCTCACTTCCATTTCAGGAGTTCAAAGCCGCTTAGATCACCTGCCCACCTCCATCCCTCATACAGGTCACTGTGGTTAGGGTATATCTTTCTGACACAAGAGTCTACAAAGTCTTTTTGGGCCCAGACGGTGTTTTGAAGGTACGGGCTGCTTTCTGCCTCTTCTGGTACGTTTCCAGGAAGAAGGTAAACGGTGAGTCAGAGGGGTTGAATTAAGTGACGTGCATGACTGCTGGAGCAGGTGCCAAAGTGTGGAGGAAGACTGAAGTGTTCAGATGGGTTGCGAGTCTCCTGGGTTTGAGAAGCACATAGAGAAAGCTGGTCCTCTTGCATCTGATGTTACTTATCTGCAGTGAGTCCTCTTGCTGTGGAGTTTATGCTCAGAAGCATTACAGGGGAGCCGGAAGGAAGACTACTTCTGTGCAAATGGTCTTATGGGTCACTTGGATGATATTGTGATGGCCTTTTAAGTGGCTGTAGAGCTCTCTACACCACTGTTACCAGGTTACTGGGGCAAGAAAAAGTATTGGTGCTGCAGATCTGTGTTGAAGGAACATGTAATGTCCAGAATGGGAGCAGCATTTCAGCTGTCAGCCCTACCAGCACACAGTGAAACTTAGCTGGAATGTGTAGGCTTTCCTTGTGATCTCAGTCAGGTTCCCTGACATCTTAACTGTGCTCCATGAAGGGGAGAGCTGTGTAGGTGAAGCAGCCTCAGCTCCATGGGGTAGCATCCATCTCTGGATGTGTATTACTGCAGAAATCAGAACTTTGGCTCTTTTTGGAACCTTCCAACAGATGCTTCAAGCCTTCTGGTGCTGGTTATGTTGCATCCTCCCCCTGAGGCATTGTTAACTGCTGCATCCTGCATGTGTGTATATATTCCTTAGTGGGAGACTGAGTGGGGAGAAGCAGGAAGCTGGATCCCTGGGGTCACTGTGCTCAGTGTAGTGTGATGGAGTCGTATTCATTGGCCTTCATGTTCAGAGTGAGAGGAATCCAGACCATAAGTAAAGCAATGGAATATTCGTGAGAGCTGCAGGAGGCATGCTGATGTTTGCTTTGTTTGCCAGTGGTCCTATCATGCAAGCTGTAATTTTAATTTGGTGGCTTCTTGTGATTATTCTTTTTTTGATTATTCCCAGAAACTTGTCCAAATGTGTTACTAAATAAACTACAATAGTTTCTTCTTGGTGTCTGTGGGTACGGAGGAAACTTCTGGGAGAACAGAAGTTGGTTTAGTGTGTCCATATGCTGTTATTGGGGGACTTGTCATCCAGATCATTAATGGCATGCACTGACTTGCCTCAGCAGCTGATGGTAAACATGTTTCTGTCAGTGGAAGTACTGCAGCATGTTCAGAGGTGGCATCAGCTGGTAATCCTGAATTTTAGCTCCACTAATAAGCAGACAGAGCAGTCTGAAAGCTGCCCAGGTAGAACACAGCTTGGAAACGACATTCGGGGAATTAATTGTGTTCCCCACTGGGAGATGTGAGTGAGCTGAAGTCTGTAGGTTGCAGGGTGATTTTGTAGGGGTCTCTGCTTTCCTTTTTCACTTGGGTGAAACTCTGCAGCTCTGATTACTATTAAAAAGCCTTCCTCATAGAAATAGGCTTTCCAGTGAGTTAGCAGTTTAGTGGAGATTGTAAGAGATAGCTCATAATGTGGATTGCTCAGCAAATGTGAATAGGACTAATTATCAGTGGCATCTACATGTATTCAATGTTTATGTGCATGGGGGAGTTTAAATCTTTAGTCAGGAACTGTTGGGCTCCTTGGGACTGGTGACTGGGAGAGAAGAGGATGGCTGGCTGGGTGTTCCTGCCATGATATGTACCCTGTAATTTGTTTTGTGGCTCACACTTAGGCCTTTCATTATTTTGGCTTTCAAAACATCATTCTTTTTCTACTTTGAGAAATGTTCTCTGTTACATATTGATCATGTTGAAATGCCATTTCCATGGTTTGAGAGCATAATTAACTTTGGGTTATGTGGCTGTTGACTATGGGGGAAAAAAAAAAACAAATTTAAATGGCATCAATTACAAGGGGAGTGAAAAGCAGTATGGAAGTCAAAGCTTTCTGGGAAGGGAGATGCTCGCAAGGAGTCTCTTGTTAGATGGGGTCACGTGTAGGATTTAGCTTTGCTGGGCATGTTCAAAAGTTTCAGGCTGCAACTGACTATGGGAAGGGGCTAGCTAATAGAATTAGGAGTGTTGTTGAGTGTGGGGTTGTGCTCATCTGCTGACAAGAGCCCTTATTCCTTTAAGTCCATTTGTTCTTGGTGGGAAGCATTCTGTCTGTGTTCTAAGATTTGGTATCTTTCAGTTTGATACTAGGGGTCATCCTGACACAGGTGCTTTTCCAGGTGGTTTTTAAGTAGGGTACAAAGCTGTGTGTTTTGCTGTGCCATAGTAGGAGGCATCTGCAGTTGCTGCTGCCATGTGCTGTGCTTTCCCAGGTCCTTCCCAGCAATTTCTAGGGCTGTTCTGTGACCTGGAGAAGGAGTAGGACTGGATTTAAAGCATTTGGGGTATTTTAATGTTGTTCCAGGAAGAACAGAAGAGGAGTTCTAGCAAGCATGTGGTGCTTCTGGCTAGTTCTGTTACCAATAGGTTAAGGGGGAGCTCTTTTTCACCAGGAGACTTTATGAAAGCTGGCAAGAGTTAAGTATCTGCTGTTTGTTGCCATAGTGGAGAGTTCTTACATTGATTTTCTTTTTTATTTTCAACAGCGAATGGACCTGGGAGAGTGTACAAAGATCCATGACTTGGCACTGCGAGCAGATTATGAGATTGCAAGTAAAGAGAGAGACCTATTTTTTGAGCTGGATGTGAGTACAGAGACATTCCAGTCACTTTTGTGGAAACTGCCTCCTGAAGTTATTTGGCTGAACAGTAGAGCTCAGTGGAAGTTTCAGCTAGCCATGTTATTTGATGTGTTAGCTGACAACTTGTGGAGCTCCTTCCCCAGGGTCAGCTCGATTGCTGCCTTAAAACTGAAAGTAATTATGGCCCTTGCAACACTATTAGTCCAGCTAATGAGGAAGGCTCCTCTGGCATTCCTTGCATCCAACATCTGCTGGTCTGTACCAGGTCATTGTAACCTGGTGGCCTGTCCCAGAAGGAGATTTAACATTAAAAGCCTTCTGCTCTGTGGTTTCGCTTTCCGAGATTTAGTTTTCTGTAATGTAACAGATCAGGCAGAAGAGCAATTCTATCTTCCCTTTTCATGTTATTCCAGTGCTTTTGTCTTTGCACCTGTTGCTCATGCATTGGAAGTTCCAGTGCAAAGCAGTCTTCGTGTGAACATCCTCTTTTGTGTCAAAGAACTGTGTCAGGTTCCAGGCAGATGACAGACTTAAGGGCAGGGATCAAATGTTACTTTTTCTACAAAGTGTCATATCTTTTTTTCTCAAGGCATCTGTTCTTGAAGCTGTTTGTGCATTATACAGGGATTGCTGTTGGCTGTGTCTGGCTCAGAGGACTTATTCACAGTTCTTTGTCTGAACATGCAGGCGATGGATCACCTGGAATCCTTCATCGCAGAGTGTGATAGGAGAACAGAACTGGCCAAGAAACGCCTGGCTGAGACACAGGAAGAGATCAGCGCTGAAGTGTCTGCAAAGGTATTTCCCTTCCAGTGAATGTTTGTTGTGAAAGTCTGTGCAAGAGCACTGGAACTGTGTTGTCTCTGACACCGTTGATACTCAGGCTCCACAAAAGCTTTGTGGTTCCCAGCCATCCTACTCAAATTCTGCTCTGGCTGTTCTTGTGGCAGACTTACTGGTACAGAGGACCATAGTACTATAAAACATGAACTCTAAAATAGGTCGCTTTAGCATGGCAATAAAGCATGTTGGTTTCTCCCCCACACTATTCAGTGTTAATGTCATAGCTTACAATGTTAATGTAATGTAATGGAATAGTAAGTCTATCCGATGAGTATCATCTTTTCACTTAACAAATCCTCACGGAGTTTCCTCTTTGGGAAACTTTCCTCTTGCTTCATGGGGTGAATACAAAACATTCCTGAGGCTGGTTTTGTGGATTCTGTCTTGCCCTGTAAGCCAGAAACATGCTGCTTTTTGTGGCAGCATTCATGTCCTCTCCATGTTGTTTTTCTGTTTGCTATGTGCCCGTGCCTGCATTGCCTATACTTGGGCCACCAATTCCTTTTTGTTGGGAGTCTTGACTTTTGGAGACTTATGGTCATCTTCCAACAACTGATTTTGTTAAACAGGGTTTTTTTGAGAAAAAGTAAAAGTTGTCATGCAAGGGTTTTTTTTTCTTACTAAAAACTACCTGTTCTCTTTAGGCAGAGAAAGTACATGAGCTGAATGAAGACATAGGAAAACTCCTAGCTAAAGCTGAGCAGCTGGGAGCTGAAGGAAATGTTGATGAGTCTCAGAAGATCCTGATGGAAGTGGAGAAAGTCCGAGCGAAAAAGAAAGAGGCAGAGGTATGGTGTTGCTTCTCCTGTGAACTGCAACAGAGGACTGGGCTAGGCTGAGCCATGACAAAGAGCTGGGTGGTTCTTGCCTCTTTTCCTTTGTTGCCAGTACATCCTTGTTCAGTTTCAGCCTTGTGCCAGCAAGTAGTTGGCAGTGTAGTGTGGTAGATGAAGAATACAATCTTTTATCTGGTGAAGAAAGCTGACAAAGAGCAGGGACGGATTTATTCTCCCAAAGATTGGGTCGCTAGTTGCTTGCAGGGAGAGACTGTCAGGGTAGCTGTGCTTGCTAAGTGTTTGTTATGGCATCTCCTGTATATTAAAGGTGGGTTTTGATTCTTGAAAGTAGCAGTGTAAATCTTTGCAGGGTTTTCTCTGGAGGGCTGTGACTATGTAAGTGCTCCCTGACATTTATGTGGATTCTTTGCCTACCTTTAGGAAGAATACCGAAATTCAATGCCTGCATCCAGTTTTCAGCAGCAGAAGCTCCGTGTGTGTGAAGTCTGTTCAGCGTATCTGGGTCTCCATGACAACGACCGTCGTCTTGCTGACCACTTTGGAGGCAAATTACACTTGGGTTTTATTCAGATTCGTGAGAAACTGGATCAGCTGAGGGTAATCCACTCCGTTTTAAGCCTTCTCCTTGTAGTTTACTAAATTCATACAGAATTCTTTGCAGAGTGCTTGTGAAAGTCCAGAAATTTCTGATTGCAGAATCCGTAAAACCTCAGATGAGTGTTTGCGTAGGCTCATCCTGGGTTTGTTCTGTAATTTCTGAGTAACTAAACATGTGCACTCAGAATCAGGCAAACCAGACCATTGCTGTCATTCGTTCCTTACAGCATTGGTGCCCTCAACCTGTATGGCTGAATTTTGTCACTCTGGGTTTTTTTAGCTGAGACGTCTTAATGAAGTGCTTGAACTGAAATTTCATGTTGTGCTGTTAGTGAAAAAGGTCTCCAGTTGCTGAAATGATGAGAAGTTTTCTGAAACGGTTCATAATGGAGTTCTGGTACTGGCCTTGCTTGCAGAGGCCATCAGCCTGCTCGAGTAAGAGTGGTGAATCCTGTGCCTTATTCACGAGACAGTATATTAAGGTCAGAGCCTTGAATGATCATTGGCACAAGGCCTCAGCACTGTTCCACTGCGAGTTGTGTACACTCATGGTGAGACAGTCCTTTACCTCAAAGCTAATGAGCTTGTCTCTTAGAGCCCAAGCGTTCAAAGCAGAGTAGGGAGTGGCATTTCTTGCACTGATTGATGTTAGTGAAGTTGTGAGGAAAATGGAAACCTTGATAGAGATCCAAACTATCACATTAAATGCAGTGGAACGTGTTTTTGTCTTACTACCTTTGTCTTACTATCGGAATAGTCTCCCTGAAGATGTCTGACCTGTTACTATATGGCTGAAATACAATATAGACTTTTCCTTTCCTAGAAAACAGTGGCAGAAAAGCAGGAGAAGAGAAACCAGGATCGTTTGAGGAGGAGAGAGGAGAGAGAACGAGAGGAGAGAATGGGCAGACGGTAAGTGGAAGCTGATAACTGGCTTGTGAAGTTGTTTTTGAAGTAGTCTGATTTTTTGTATCTGAGCATTGCTGCAAAGCAGCATCTGCTGCTGGATTAGCTGTTGGGCATGCTCTGGATACTGAGCACCCTGGCATTTAGTTAAGGATGAAAACAAATGCACAAACCCCCATGTTAGAGTGATTGTGTATTGTGTATTTCAGATACACACCTCCATTGTGTATTTGAAAGGTGTGAGCTCCATGTAGTCTTCAGGCTTATATTGGTCTAGCCCCTGTCTTTGGAAATCTGAATCTAGGTAAAATGCCCTTATCCAATGCATCTCAGTGGGGAACTTTAAGACGAGTGAGGGCTGGGTCTGCTCAAAAGGTGCCAGTCATGCAGAAATTCCTTGGGCAGCCCTCCTTCCTTCTAGGCTAGAAGATGACAGCAGAACAGAGCTGGTATATGTGAGCCAGGTGGTGAGGTGCCTGCCTTGCTCTGAAACTTTCCTACAGTAGCAGCGAGGTGCTTTTGTCACAGCTTTGGAAAACATTTCTTAGGGGATCCAAGGGATTCCAAGGAGTGGCTGCTTCTGCAGATTGAGGCCATATGTGTCACCTGCTCATATGTGTATAATCTGAGCAGTGGGAGTGGCTGCAGTGTTGGTATTCTCAGGACGAGCTCTTCCACATCTTGCCAGCTGAACTGGAAAAACTCTTTCTTCTGTACCTGAACAGAACAGGTTCACTTGTGTGTCAACAGCTTGGTTAAACAGTCTGGTATGGAGAGGGTGGTTATTTGCTGTAGTCAGGCAGAGGATGTGGCTGAGTAGGAATGCTGCTCTCATTGTCACAGCATCTCCCCAGTTACCTCATGTGTTTCTCCTCTTGTACTTCTTGCATCAAAAAACCCAACCTTACTGCCTGCGGAGAGCTCTTTTTGACCCTCAGTGTCAACTGAAGAGCGTATTTCAGCCATCCGTGTCTGAGGCATGAGATACATAGCTGCAGTATGCTCTAAGAGGATGCTGGCTTCAGGGTATATATTGCTGGAAGTGCTGGCAAATAAGTACCAGAATTAAAGCAGCTTGGTTTTCTGTGCTCTGCAGCTTGGTGATTCTGGTGTACAGTGAAGCCCCAGATTTTTAGGCATTCTCCGTTCAGGGTGTTTCATGTGGGTTTCCTCTCTCTCTGGATTACCTGGTATCATATGAAGCACCAGTTCATGCTGCATCTTTCTCCTGAACTGCAGCTCTTTATGTAGAGCCTCACAATTTTCTGGCATCCATGGAAAAGTGACAGTGAGTCAGTTATATTTGGGAGCTGCAGATTCTGGAACTGGGTGATGAGTGCAAGAGTTAATTGAAAAGGATACGTTGCTATGGTCAGAAAGATGGAAGTGAAACAAGTGTCTTCCTGTGCAGCTACTTTGTGGCAGGCTCTTTCAGATGCGCAGTAGGACCATCTGTAACCTGGATTCAGTGTGTCTGTCTCCATGGTGTCTCTTCTTCCTGGAGTTCATTTCTGTGTGAAAAGTGCTCAGCAGAGTTGCCTTCAGGAGGAGTCCTCTGGATCCCTTATTTGGTCTGCATCTTCTTGGAATACTGGCTTTCTTCCTTCTGTGGCATGTCTGTGGTTTTGGTTTTGTGGTGTTTTGTTTTAAGTAACCCCAGACCCTCAGTTTGTGAGAGCTAGGAGTCTCTTGTGTTCAGAAGTAGTCTGTATGTGGATGAATATGATGAGGGGATTTGAAGACCACTTTTGAATGTTTATTTCATCTTTTAAGTAGGAAGGGTTTAAAAACTGTGTTGAGTTAGCTTAGTCTGGGCTCTTGCTGATTCCATACATAGCACTACTTGTGCTACAAGTAGTGTGTGGCACAAAACTGTGGCCAGCCTTTGCTGTCACTCTGTGTGGAAGCATCCTCTGTTAAGATACCAAAGAAAAGCTTGTTATGAAGGAGTCAGCAGTGCTGTACAGAGGAGGTCAAATTATTTGCCTCTCCAAAATAAGGACTTGACCCAAAGAAGGAAAATAGTTTTCCAAGTGGGCACTCAGTGTCAGAACTAGAGTCAGAGCCCAGATTTCTCCGTTTCTCAGCACCTTATCTGCTGGGAGTTGTGGACGACCGTGCTTGCAGGGGCATCTTTCCATCAAAAACTAATGGGCAACTTCTACTGCCTTTCAGACTGTGTCTCTTAACCAGAGCTTGATAACTGTAAAACCACAGAAGATATATTTCCCTCATAACTCTTCTTGAGGTGTCTTCATATTCAACATATTCAAGGTGTTACTCAGTAAGAAAAAGAGTACTGCTTGACTTGGAGAAGTCTTCAATGACTTACAGGTGTTATGATGTACCATGGAAACCTGTAGATTCACTTGTGAAACTCTTACCTCTCACAGGCTTTATTAATTTGTCAACTAAACCGTGATTTCCACATAAGGATTAGTGAAGTGGCCTGTCAGCCCAAGTGGTAAATAAACACAAGTCCCTTGGTGTTGCTGGTGGCTGCGAGCTACCCAGTAATCTCTTAAGACTGAAGTTCTGTGGAGGGGTGGCATGCTTGGAAGTGCAGACCTCTGATTTGCTTCCAGAGTACACCAGCAAACAGGTCTAGGTGGAGTTGCCAAATGGGTTTCCTTTGTATTAAGTTAAACAGCACAAAGTTGTGAAAGTCAGCACATAGCCTCTGTGATACAGGGCCAAAAAAAAGAGGAAAAAATAAATATGCTCAGCTTCTCATTCCTCTGAACAGCTCTCTTCTACTGTCTCCTGCTGTATGTTGATTGAGGCTAGTAAGGAAAGTGCTTCTTTTGCTGGATGCCTCCTGAATTCTGAAATTGAGTGCTAGGGAGTGATTACCAGGTTATTGTACACATTCCTGCTCAGATCACAGGTGTGGAAGGTCAGCCAGGCTTTTCATGGGCTGTGGAAGGGCTTTGTGTAAATGTGCGCACTGGTCATTCAGAATAAAGTGATCAGGAGGAAAAGAACATTGGGAACTTGGAGTAATTACAACCGCCAAAAAAATTCAGCTGCTGCCAGGCGTCTAGAGAAGGTCCTGCTGCTCTGTCAAGTTCTGTTCCATGAAAAAAGAGGTGTGTGGTTATTGCCTTGCTCTCCTGGCTTAGCAGCTTTGCCTTCATCTGGTCGTCTTGTGTGTTGCCTCGGATCACAGTCCATTTGCCTCACTCAAAGTTCAGCTCTGCCGTGTTCACAGTCCTTCTACTTGAATTGCTTCCCACATTTGGGGTTGTTGGTTTTTTTTGTTTTTACCATGATTGAACAATCCCATTTCATTGTGAAGGAAGGTCAGTGCACATTGGTTCTCTTTATCTTGTCTTATCCAGGTACAGGTTTAATTGATATTATTAAAATAGATGCTTCTTTATCACTGTTTAAAATTTTACCTGTGTGTAGCTTTCATCCTCATCTCTTGTTACAGTGCTCCAACAGCTCTGTGGCTGTGTAAATGGAACACCTCTGCGAGCCTGTACGCAGTGGGGAGACAGGAACAGTTACAAGAGTGAGTCCCTAAGTCACTAAGACCAGCCACTTCTCAGTTAAAGCAAAAAGAGGCTGCTCACACAGGGTGTGATGTTTTGGTGTAAGCTGGCTCTGAAATGTGGCCATAGAGAAAAAGGGAAGGTCCATATTTCACAGAGTAGTATTTTACATGGTGCTGAGTAATGGTGCTGCAGAAGTTGAACGAATTGAGACATTGTTATTTGCAGACTGCCAAAAGCTAATGCAGCATTAAGCTGAGAGTGCCGCACATGAGCTCTGAAGCCATGGAAATGTGGGAATAATAGTGAGGCTTGGATTGATCTTCTGAAATGGCTTTCTAAGTCTGGGATGAGGGATTTTTAGTGTATCTCTCAGTTACTTTTCAGTAATTGTTCTTCCCTTGTGTCTGTCCCCTCTTTTTTCTAGCTCAAGCAGGGAAAATACCATTGATGCAAATTTCCTCTTAATGTTTGTTAAACAAATCTGATGAGTGAGAAGATGCTGCTTTCTAGTTATTAGAAGCTTTTTGATGTGCAACTACCTCAGAGGAATCAGTATCTTTCTGACTGGAGAGTGGCACTTCAGAACGTTAGAGCTGATGTAGCTGATACGAGACTGCAGAGCGTAAAGAGCATATAACCAATCTGCACAGTCAGGAAGGTTTGTTGTGGTGTGTTACTAAGAGATTGAATTGGTTTGTAGACCTTTTAATTTCTGACAGGAAGCTCTGCATGTAGAAACTAGTGTTTCTACAGATTTCCTCAGGTTTTGACACATTCTCCCTGCCCCCCAAGTGGAAGCTAATTAAATGTTTTAATGGCAAGCTTTTTTCAAATGCCGTATCATTTGGGGGGGTGCTGTTGCATTCCTGTGAAGAGCTGCCAGGGTGGATGGGTTATTCTGTTGAAAACCCACTGGCTATATCATACATTCTCTAGCTTACCTGTTGTCTTCTTTCTAGGTCTGGATCAAGAAATAGAGACCGTCGAAGGTGAGTGCACATTTCTCGTGCAGTTGTCCCAGATGCCTATTTGTGTTTCTATTTAACTACTGAGATTTTTCCTGTGCCTCACAAATGGAGTTCACTCAGTGCCCCAGTCTCTTGGTTTTGCTCCCTGAAGGAAATGGGAATCACTGCTTGGGCACCTCAGTGGTGTTCTGCAGCCTAATGTCACTCATTGGGCCATAAAGTAGCCCTGGTCAGGATAGATGGTATTGTGTGCAGTAGAGCATGAGGCTAAGAACATTCTTGATGCCACTTTCAATAAATATCTAATGTACTTTCATAGTTTTAATGTTTGAAATGTATCTATTACCTGTATGATACCTCAGATGTAAAAATACAGAGATTCAAGATAAAAGCTCCCCCACCTCTATAGAGAGCTTGCCTTAATTACGTGACAACATTCTCTGGTCAGGTAGCTGGTGATCTTCCTCTCTACTGCTTTCCATATAAGTTGACATCCTTTGTTTAGTTTTTAGAGCAGACTGAAACAAATCTGCTTCTAAAGTGTAGTACTTCCACAAGGAAGATCCTCTCTTAGCAGACTGTCGAACTGGTTATGGTAATTTCACATGCCGCTTTCTTTGGCCTTTCTTCTGTTTAAACAGGCCTCACTCTGAGCGAGGCACAGCTGGTAGGCTCTGCTCTAGGCATTGACACATGCTTACAGTAACAGCGGGAGCTTTTTATATAAGCTTCCCAGCAAATCAAACTTAGCTATTGGCATTTTGTTGGTAGCATGAGGCCCAGGAGGGAGGTGCCCACCCTGGGGCTGATCTGCCTTCTGTGTTGGCAGGGATGGGGCTGGGGGTGTGAGTGCTGGTGCTCTGGATATTTGTTACTCGGGAATGCCTGAGAGATGGGCTCAGGTGTGCAGATCCAATGCACTGACCCTTCTCCTGAGTCTGAGGCAATGTGTGTCCCCTCCAGATCACGGTCTCGGGACAGGCGGCGGCGACGCTCAAGGTCGGCTTCCCGTGAGCGGCGGAAGTCTCGCTCCCGGTCCCGCGACCGACACAGACGCCACCGAAGCCGCTCCCGCAGCCACAGCAGAGGTCACCGGCGGGGGTCCAGAGACAGGAGTTCAAAACACAAGTATGTATGCTGTGAATCCTTGGCATCGCAGTGAGCCTCCCCAGTCCCTTAGAGTGAACAGGAGTGAGACAGGGTTTTCATGTTAGATGCGGTGTCCTGTACCAGCTCCTGGGCCAAAGCAAGGCTTCCCAGTGGCTGGTCGTAGATGGCCTCACATTACAGCAGTAGTGCAGTTGTACAGTGAGGTGCCAGCATAAGAGGACAAATCTAGGAGATAGAAATGGCTCCCTGGTTTGCAGTGCTGAGCTGTGAGAAATTGCTGGTTTCTTGTAAGAGAAGCAGCACAAAGGCTTGCTTGAGCTAATTGAGCCTCCCCAGGCCTGTAAAAGCCAAGTAACTGAGAGGCAGTTTTGACATGACATTTCTATGGTTATCTTCTGTTTCCTAGCTTCTTTCAGTGCTGGCATGGGGAAGGAAGTGTATGATTTAGGATCTGGGGGAAGTCATCTGTTAGAAAGCTGCTTGAGAGAGGGGGGTTTTTCAGGAACCTGCACTGGAGGGAGGGAAAAAGGAGGCCATGAGGAGGAGTTACACCATTCTCCTGTTGTTGAGGAGAAATGCTATAGTTAGAGGAAGGGCTTTAAGCCTCTTCTGAAACTCATCAAAACACCTACTGTGTTGGAGGAAGGATGAGACAAGCATATGTAGGAGTATTAGAAAAATTGAATCCTTGTGTTTCCTTGCAGCTCTTCTAAGCCCAGGAGCAAGTCTATCACCAGGTGAAAAGCTTGCTGAAGCTTTTTTTAAGTCCTCCTAATTCATAGGGGAGTGCTTTAGCACTGTCTCACCCGATTAGGCATCACTGCTCAAGTACAGTTCTAGAAACAAACTGACTGCTGGGTGTCTTGTGTCACTTTAGCTGAGGGGTAAGAACAGGTTTTAAAGATACCTGATGATGGGGAGGGAAATAATGGTCTGAAAAAATATATCTTAATAATTGAGGGGGGATGTGTAAATACTGTTAATTCTCCAATGGCTGAGATACTAAAGTCCTTTTTTAAATCTGTCTTGAACATGAAAAATAAAGAAAAGAAGTTTGGACAATTAGGAAGTGAGGAAGACCCTGTAATAACTATTACTAAAGAGCAGGTAAGGGATTACTTCAAAAACCTTGAACACATTCAAATCGGCCCATGGAGGTTGTAGGGGGATTGGCTGGCTGACAACTTGGGAGAGACCAGGATCAGTTTAAGAAAATAAACCTAGGAACAAACAGAAAACCCCTGTTCCTTCAAAGACTGTAGCTTCTGTTTTCACCTTGAATTAATGAAGCCTGCATTCAGGTTCTGGTCTGAGGTCTAACCTGTAGAAGGAAGGAAACAGGCTGTCACAGGATCTGGAAATCTTGGGGCAGCAGGCATTGCTACGGGAACAGGAAAAGAGTTAGTATCAGACAGATGCATGTTGTCATCTGGTTAAATGTCACCATTTAATGAACATGAAATGGCTTGTGATACAGAGAGCTGCAAGGTTTTAATGTATCAGTTGTGCAGTATTTCCAAACCTTACAATCAATGTGAATGAAAGCTGGAACCTCTGAGGTGCCTGCCAGATCCTCCTCTTTTGACTGTAAAGAAAAACCTGTGTGCTGAGTCCATAACTAAAATGTAATGGCCCTGCAGGGTCTGTGAGAGCCTCTGCCTACTTCTGAAGGGGCTTGGGCCGATAGGGCTCATTCCTGATCAGCACCTTTTGAAGGCTGTGAGACAATAATCATGCAGGAAAACAGCCTTTTTGGAGTGGGCCTTCTGCTTAATTCTGAGTGGGCTGATAGAGTGAAGCGCTGCTGAATCTGCAGCTGTCCTTTGAGCCAGCTGTGAAAGGCGTTGCCTGTAGTATGGGCTGTGAATGTAAATCTGAATCACCCTGACTTTGAACCCAGGGGGCTGCCCAAGACCATGCTTGTCAGGCTGCACAGTAAAAATCCCAGGGCTGAGCAAGCATTTGAGTCCAGAGAATACAGTTGACATTTATAATGGTTGAGCAGAAAGCCACTAGCTTAAAGGATAATGAAAAACTCTCTAGAAGACAAAAGCAGAGCTGAGTCATAGGTGAGGAAGAAATTGGAAGGGCTTTAGCAGGGCCCAGTTAAGTAACAAGGGGCCCAGAGAAGACCTCAGAGAGCCCCTTTAGCCACAGCTTGAAAGGATTACTCCAAGGAGAAAGTAACAAAGGCTGAGCTGTGCACTTAGCACTGTAAAACTGGTGTTCTCCTATATAAAGCTTGTGGAGGGCCCAGGGTTGCTGTCTCAGGGCTGCCAGTCCCTGCAGTGCAGTACCTAGGCACATTTCTGCACAGAACTTGTGTTATGCCACAGCCCTTTTAGGGAAAGATGCTGTCATTTTGTGAGTATTTGAAACTCTTTTAGTTGTGAAGCTCATAGCGATGGTTTACTTTGTACTTCAGATCTTCTAGAGATCGATCTTCAAGAGAAAAGTCACGAGACAGAGAGAGGAAAGAGAAGAGCTCTTCTGAGAGGCGGCACGAGAGCACAAATGGCAAATCTCGTTCCAAGAGATCAGAAGAGAGAGAAGCTGGCGAGATCTGAACTCAAATGATCTGTGTTGCACTGTAAATAGTCTGATAAAACATTCTACACAAAGCCTAAATTCCCCATTTATATTTACTGAATATAACTCATCTTTTGTAGTTTGGAATTTTTATTGTTTGGCAGATAGCTGTGAGTTTGTAGAGACAGAGTTACGTACTGTTTAACAGGATCTTGTTTTAGTAGGAATCAATAAATCTGGATGGATCGTTTCAAATTCAGGCCTGTGGCTGCCACGCTGTGTTTGTCTGACCCAGTGACCGCGGCCACCTCTGCAGCGCTTCAGCCCTTCCCTAAAGATCTCCCTCACCTTCTGTGAGCACACCAGTAGCACTGGTTCTCAATTAATTTCTCCTTCTGTTTATATGAAATTCAGAAGTGTTTTGTTTTTTTTTTTCCTTTTAGTGCTTACACACCTCTTTTATACACCTCCAGCATTTGAGAGCTCCCTTGCTACTGCAGCTAAGTCAAGACAGACCAAATTCGGCCCTCATCTGCACATTTTGAAAGCTGTTCATCTTTTGTGAGAATGAGCAAATGATCTGGAGTACATTTCTGAGAGGGGCTCAAGTCTGGTTTTAGTACTTTTCCAGTTCAGATACAAACAGTGCAAAATCTGGGCCAGTGTCTTCAGTAGGGGGGTATAGAACCAGCCTGCCTGTTTTCTGTGCACTCTGGAGTCAGGGCCACCTCCTGGTGTTTTCTGACTTGCAAAAAAAGCATTTGTGTATGTGTTTTATCCAAGGCCAGGCAGGCAGAAGGTGGCCAAGAAGCAGAGGTGACTGGGGCTGGAGGAAAGGCCAGGGTGACGGAAGGGAAGGCAGGGGCTGCCAGCAGCGCACTGCTGCGCTTGGGACCTCAGCACCAACGTGTGGAAGAACTCTGCATATTGTAACTTGCTTGTTTGTAACTGGGTTTATTTTGCAGTGGGGAGGAGCCCGCCCCGCTGTGCCCGACACAGCCCGGACCCCGGACCGGTGTTCTGTGAGTAACGCACTTGCTGCCAGCCGCGCTGGGAGCTGTCGGGGCACGGGGCTGGCTGCTGCTCCTCAACTCGCTGAGGCCGGTGTCATTAAACACCTCTCTCTCCTAACGCGAACAGGAGCGTGTCTGTCAGCCTGTGCTCCGGCCGTGGCCGGTGCGGGGGGGTCCGGGCGGTGCTTGTCCCTTTCCATAAAGCTGCTTTAACAGTTTCGGTTCCCCGCGGCCTCCCCGCGCCCTCTCGGTGTTAGTCCTTAGTGCATGCGACCCCATCCCTGTTGTTTTACATCTAACCCGCGGTTCGCGTATTGTTTTGTGACCCCCGTGCCGGTGCGGGGAGCGCGGGGCGGCCGGGGGGCGGCGGGGCGCTCTCGGGGTGTCTGTACGTGCCTGTGCTGTTCTCGCGGTCTGATCGCATTAAAGACTGTGTTTGTGGCTCTCACCGCTCCCGGACTCGTTCTTGCGGGGCCCCCGCACGGCGGAACTGGGCAGCTGCGTCCTGCCGTCACTTCCTCCGCCGGAGGAGGAAGTGACGGCGGTGGCGGCGCGCACGGGGTGAGTGCGGAGCGCAGCGGGGCGGGGGTCGGGCTGTGCTGCCGGTGCGGCTCGGCCGCGGCGGGGCCTCCCCGGCTACCGGCTGGGGGTGAGGTGAGCTTCGGGACGCCCCGAAGGTCTGGGCTTGGCTCCGGGCCGCCCCTCCGCCACTGCAGGGGGTCCTGTAGAGGCAGGGAACCGGCTCCAACGGGGCGGGCGTGGTGTGCAGCAGCCGCTCCACCGGCGGGGCCCGCGCCGAGCCGCAGCTCAGAGCTGGGGAAGGCCGCCAGCAGGGCCGGCGGGGAGCACCGCGGAACCCAGCCCTCCCTGCTGCACTTGTCCCAGCCCGGTGCCCCTCCTTGTGATCTGGGTGTGTGTGTGGTGTGTTTGCTGTCCATCTTCGGCAGCTCAAGAACCGGCCTAAAGCTATATCGAGAAGTCTTCGGAAGAATTTAATCCCTTTTGCAAGAGGCAGGGGCTCTGCCCACAGAGCTGGTTTCTGTGTTTAATCTGAGCTGGTTGATCCCGGGTGGTTGGGCTGCGTAGGAGGTCTGCGGAGATGCGCTCGCACAGCGCTGTGCGTGTGGGTCTGTGTTCAGACAAACAGAAACGCGAGAAACCCCTCATCTCTACAGAGCAACCTCCAGCTTTCAACACCCTTCCTGGACAGGGTTCAAGTTCCCTTTTTGTTCTGCCTCAGTGGCTGATTTGCAGATGTGAATTAGAATGTTTCTCGCAGAAAAAAAGTGCTTTAATATGTTGAATTCCAATCTCATTTCCACCCTTTTTGCCTTATTTTGGAAAGCAAAAACCTCTGTGTGACCAGAGCCAGCCCTCTGCAATGGAGGCTGGAAGCCAAGAGGTTCTGCAGGCTGGGTGTTGGGTGTGCAGGTAGAATGGCTTGTGAATGAATGAGGTTTCCTCTGTGAATGTGTGTCAGAGAGAAGAAGAAAAAAATCTATCTCTGGGGGGAGAAGAGGGGTTTATTTGGGAGGTAGCTGACAAGAACAGCAGAGGCTGGAGGAAGACTGTTGTTTCATCCTGCCCTAAACCTCGTTAGGCTGTGCAGGACCCAGTGGGCAGCACGGCGTTTGTGACCTGTGGAACAAGTGTTCCCCTTAAATGTACTTTCTTTCTGTCTTACAATAAACCCACATGAAATGACCATAGCCTCTTCTCAAGGGTTTTCCTGCACCGAGATCCCTCTGGCGGTGCAGAGAAGACTCTGTGCTGGTGAAGGCCGGGGAGCCCCATGGGTGAGGTGGGGATGTCTCTGACATGAGAAATTCAAACAACTCTGTAACTACTGCTCTTGGGGTTGACGCAAGGGATCTGCAACAGTCAGTGAGGGTGAGTGGCCTGGTTCCAGCAAAGCTTGTAAGTTCCGGGATGATAAATGGCGCATGTTTCTGCTGGTTGTTATTACTGGCCTACACTATAATTAGTTCCATACAGGCTCTAATCATGTTCTTCATCTTAGAGTTTTGCTTTTCCCATTGCTCTCTTGGGAACTTACTGGGTCGTGTTTTGCTCTTTGCTAAACAGATCAAGTTTCTCTACTTGAATCCCTGTCTCCTGTCCTGGAAAACAGAACTTTTCTCCTACAAATGACAAATGTATCACATTCTAAGGTGGTACTTGGTTATACTCTGAGGATTTTGTAACTTGTGCTGTGAATTCTCTGTGGCACCAGACAGTTATGTGTCATTTAAGAATAACTTGATGTTTTGGAGAGACACATGATAACAGGCAAAACAGCAGCAGTGAGGGGAGGGCAAAGGACAACTGTAGCAGCAGAATGTGAGTGTTTCTCTGTGCTGGGTGCCTGCGTTGCCTTTGTGTGGTCTGGGTTACAACATCCTGCAAAGGCTGTGTGGACACAAGCAGGAGCAGAGGTACCCGGCATTGGAAGGAGATGGTCTCCTTAAGGCAGTTCTCCCTTCCAGCCTGTGCTGTGACTTTATATTGAGAAAGAGTTATGAGCTGCAGATGACCCAGCCAAATGACAAGCTTGTGTGCAGGGTGTGGATGTATTTGGAAAGGAAAATCTCTTCATTTGTGAGAAGCCTTAGGTGTTATTTCCTCTTGGCTGGACCCTGATGTGAGTGGAAGCGGAACTATGGAAAAGGGAAAAATCCAACAGTGTCTGCATGTTGCAGCAGGTGACTGCCCAGCAACTTTGCTGCAGAGCCATGCCATACAAGGGATCAAAACTGAACAGTCTGCTTGTGGAAGGAGCTGTGAAAGGAATGTTGCATCCTATTCAAAGCAAAACTTGGAAGCTGTTTCACCAATATTAATTGCAGCTTGGGGCTTCAACGGTTTTTGGCTGACAGGGAGGAAACCTGTAAGGTGCTTAAAACAAACAAACACAAGAGCCAGGGCAGCCCAGTGCTGTGTTTGGGTTCCTAAAATGGCCAGTCAGAAACTGAATTTATCATTCTGTGAAAGGTATAAACATACTGAACATCAAACCTAAGTTATGGTATATTGCTAGGAATTTTCCAGGAAGAACTAGTGCCTGGTGAGATTACAGATGCCAGGGTTTGGTATTTTATGGGTGGAAAATGAGTTAAACCTTCCATCACACTGATACTTATATGGTTTCTGTCACCAGTCTTCATACACCTAACTGCATGTGGTTCTCTCTGCTTGTCAGGCAGTTCTAGCTGACTGGTAATGATAGTTTGTCTCTTGGATGTAGCTGTGGCTTGGTGTGAACTGCTTGCTGCACAAGTTTCACTGGTTTGGTTGAGATCAGATCTGTAAATATGCGCTGTAGCTTCAAGGAGAAGAGGAAAGTCAGTCCCTGTGAAGGTGGGTAAAGCTGTGTCTGTCCTGTGCGCAGCATTGTTGCTGTGGGACAGGAAAGGGTGTTTGTTCCTCCTTGGCTTTGATCAAGGACTGCTTTTAGCTCTTCCAGTTGCTGAGGAGAGTAGCCTTTAGAGCTTAGGGAGTGATGGAAGCACTCACACCAGCAGCTGAAGTTGTGTGGGATGCAGACCCTGGCTGTACTGCAGTGGGTTCAGTTTGGGTCTCACATGCTGCGGTTTCTAGTCATTTCCTTTCCTGTGAAGTCTTTCTCCCATGTTTTCTCATGATAATGCCTCCCATCCACAGGTAGCTGTGAGACCTAGTGCATGCAGCGTGTGTTCATAATGCAGCAGCACAGGATCCTGTCACTGCTTAATTCCTTGCAAGGTGGCTGGATGGCTTGAACTTCCCAGTGAATTATTTGGTGTCCTCTACCAGCAGGAGACAAAATGCTGGCTGCTAGAGGATAGTAAAACCATCTGAAACGCATACTATCATTTTCTGCTTGTCTTCAATTAAACCGATTACCAGACTTCTTTGTTGTTCAGAGCTCAGACCATTTCCCGTGCTGCCAGCATGTACTTTGCAAGTGCAAGCAATGGGATTTCCTGTATTGTTTTGAGTCTTTGCCATTGACCTTTGTGGTCCTTGTTCTGGTACTGTCTCTGCTCTGGCAGGGGTGCAAAGGGCATTATTCAAACCCTGAAAGAAGACATAAAGAATTGCTTTAAATGCTTTGAGGGCTCTTTGTAGTCCGTGGCTCTGAGGGTCATTGCTGCAAAAGAAGGGGAATTACTGGGGCTGTCAGGATAATTACCACTCCTTTATTGTTCTCATCCCAGTCTAGATGAGAGTGGTGCGATTTGTAGTGAATCATAAAAATAGACCTTGCATACAGCGTTAGGATGGTGTCCCTTTTGGACTAAGTTGGGAGAAGCCCAGCTTTGGGTCTTCTTGGGGAATTGCAGAGGAGCTGGAAGCACTTGGCTGTGCCCTGGAGGTTCCCTGGCTCCATCTTGTGGAGCTGTAGATGCTGGTGGTGGTGTGCTTGAGCCCTGCTGCAGCCCGTGCCATGGACACTGATTGCCACTGCGTTCAAGAAGATCCACCTCTGCCTGCTGCTGGAGACAGGCAGGCCAGAGGCACAGGAGCCATCTGCCTCATGGCAAGGGAGGTCACTAAGCCATTCCTGCTGCCATCCCCCATTGCTGCAGCGGTGGTTGCTCTGCTCTGGTAAATCATTTGCTTGGCCTGTGTGTAGAGCCTTGTACCTTGAACCTGCTGCAGGTCTGGTGCTTGGCTTGCCAGCACGGTGGCCAGGTCAGGGGGAAGGCTGGATGCATGACTGTTCCTTCCCCTTTCCATCTGGAGCTTTCCTACCCCTGTCAGGTGCCTGCAGTTGGTCTGCAAACAGCCACCTCATGAGAGTGTCTTTTGTGTTGCTGTAGACTGATGTGAAGGGCAGATGAGGTCTTTAGAGCAAGATCTTTGGAATAAGATACAGCTTCTACATTATTGATTTGATTGCATTTGCATGGTACTGTTCTGCTTGAATTAAATTGTCTGGAGTGAGATGTTGTACTCGATGTGCTGTTGTAGAATAGATGTCAGGGTACTCAGGTTCGAGTAAGTGTTCCATGACTCCAGCCTTGTAAGTCCAGCAAGCATTTGAGGTTAGCTGTGGGACTGACAGCAGCATGCCAGGCTGCCCTGCTCGCCCCAGGCACTCAACTTCTGCCTTGCTGTAGGTCTGGCCCCACTGTGATTTGTACCCAGAAGAGAAGAGGCCTCTGCAGCTCTTCCCTGTGATGGGACAGGGACAACCCCAGGAGGTGAGACTCCCCCCTGGCCTCCCAAGGGTGTCTCTCATCTTGTTTCTTTGAACCTGTAAATGAGCTTGGGCGTGAAACATGAGATGCAACAAGCCCTGTTGTTGTTGGAGTTGCAAGCCCAGGCTCTTTGCATTGTGTTGGTGCTGAGTTTAAGCTATTTTCTGCTGGGGAAGTAAATTGCTCCAGTGGACAATCCAGGCACGTGACTGCTGGGGCAGTCATGGAAAATTGGCTCAGTTGCTGTGTTTATTTGCTCTGATATAACTTTTTATGACACTGCCATGCAGCTTTTTCCAGACTACTGGAATGTGTTATTCTGTATTTCTTCCCTTCTGCTATTTTTTGAAAGAAGCACTATCAACCTCCATTAGCATTGTTCTAGTGGGTGATGACTTACAGGCTTCTGTAAATGACCAGGGCTTTTTTTCCCACCCCTCTTTTTTATAAGGTGGATCTCGTAGCTCAAGATTATGACTTGCAACAGGACAAGTTAAAATAGCAGTTGTTAGCTCTTCTTCCATTCTGATGAAATCAAATTTGCCTGATTTTAGTCTCAGTTTGCACCTCCTTTTCCTCCAGTGGGGAAAATCACTCTTGCTTTCTGCAGGGCTGGTTTGCTAAACTTACCAAGTGGTTTCTCTTCTGAGAAGGTGTTGAATAGCTTTGGTTTGTTCCTTACAGAATATGCTGGTGTTTGTTTCTCTCACTGTCTCCTGGGGAAGCTCAAGTGCTCACTGCAATAGGGAACAGCCTTATGTTGAGGTATAAAGGTCATGAGTGTTTCCTTTCACCTCTCCATCTGGGAGTCAGACAGACACACACAGGAGGCAGCAAGAGGTCTTTGCAGCAAAAGGAGCTTTTGGTGTGTTTTTCTTGAGGAAGACCTACAGACCAGTCAGTCCTTTCTGCTTAGAGGCTGTAGCCTTCTTTGTCTGGGTCTAGCAGAAGAAGAAGAAATTGAAGAAGAAATTGTGCCCTTCCTGCATCCCACAGTCTCTCTCCATTGCTCTGTGTGGGAGACCTCTGGTGCCAGCAGTGTTTTATATCCAGCTCTGCAACAATACACTGATTTTCTCACCTCCTGTTGAGTATTTTCAGAGTGAATATCAGGTAGTAACAGAATATTTTGGGTTGGTTGTTTTTTTAATATATTCCAAAATCTACTTTAACTGCTCTTTCTGTTACTGTAGGTGAAGGGAAAGAAGGGTGTCAGGATACCTATGAATGAGGTGTGATGGATAACAAAGACTCGGAAGCTGAGATCCACCCTCTGAAGACTGAGGATGTAAAAGTTCAAGAGAACCATGAAAACTCTGTGGAGAGAAGAATAGTGAACAAGCAGTCATCGCAGCTGTCCCGGCTGTCCCGGTGGCGCACTGCCGCCTTCTTCATCTCATTATTTCTGTGTCTCATAATTGTGTTTGCTTTCTCCTTTATCATTCCTTGCCCAGAGAGACCAGTTTCAGAAAGAACATGGTTCCGAAACTACAACCATGCAGGTGAGCTTGCTGTAGCAGGATAAATAACTACCAACAGTCCTTTTCCTTTATGTGCCATGAGTTTGAATTGTGGACCTCTATCTAATCACGATCTGGAGCCAGGCCTGCAGGGATGCTGCCCTTGGGAGTAAGAGCTGCGTGAATACCTGACCTGAATAAGCAGTGGCCCGTCATAATTGGAGTGGCCTTCCAGGAGGTGTTTACAGGATCTAATGGACAAATTAGATGCTGCTCTGAAGCTCTAACAAGGTAGCAGGCTGGCCTCATTTGGGAAAGAATTAAGTGGGGAAGTGAATCTAGGAATATAACTTTGTTTAAATTTGGTCTGTAAAATGTTCCCTTGAAGTTTGAACTGAGGTCTGGGGACAATTAGGCATTTTTTTCCTCTGTCCGTATGACTTTCTGACTTTTCCCCATGGCTAACAGGAAGGGGAGAAGAATTGCGTCTTCTTGTGGTTTTTATAAGTTGCACACATTTGTAGTTGCTTTAGTTGGCTCATTCGCCTGGGTACTGCTCCCTGGTGGCTTCTGTGAAAGCTTTTCTTTAGTCTTATGTGTGGTGGGTGTGTGCTGGTTGTGCTATAAACACAGAGGTGGTGCTCACCAGTGGGGATTGAGCTTTGTGTGTTCCTGCGGACATCCGAGTTCTTTTGCTCTGGGCTGAAAAAGGCTGTTTTTAGCTGAGAAACATGGAGTATCTGGGGCTGGGTTTGGGTTTGTTTTGGGGCTTTTATATTTCAGAAATAGAAACCCCACACCAAGACCAGAGCTGTTCTTTGTTCAACATAGTTCAGTCTCTGGTTGGTTGGCTCTTAAAAAAGGACAAATCCTCTGGGGCATAAGAAACTTAAAAAATCCTTTGGCACTAATTTCCAGCCCTCAGTACTCATGTGGATGGCTTTTTTAATACAAAAGCCAATTTGTCCTGAGGTTACACTGTCAGAGATGGAGGCAGTGAGTAGGACTCTAGGAATTTGTTTTGCTCCAGCTAGCTTTGTTGTTGGTTGAGGCAATCCTCACCAGTGCCTGCCTTGTGATCTTTTTTACAGTGGCCTACCAGTTTCTCGCCATACAAGATGTGAATAAAGACAAAGTGCAAGATGTCATCTTTGCATTCAAAGCTAGCAATGGCAGCAGCAGCTTCAACAGATCCTGTCTGGATGAAGGTAGCTGATTCAGAAACAGAAAGCCTTGCAGTAAGGGCTGGTTTTGCTCTTTTAGCTCTAATTAGTGAAGCTGCTATGGGTCTGGGTTATGTGGGTGTGGAGAGGGACTGGGTGAGTCCCAGCTCTCAGGTGGTGTGGAGCAGCAAAGGTAGGGTGTGTAGGTAGTGTTCCCTCTGACATGTCTACTCCTCAGGTCTGCCTTCTCCGTGTGCCTTCATTGCTGCTGTATCTGGCACCAACGGGAGAGCGCTGTGGGAGAGGCCTGCTGCCGAGGAAGTGGAGTGGATGGAGTGTGGCATCAAGCAGCTTGGGGGGGCTGAGGCCTCGGGTTGTCTGGTGGTGGGGAAGCCGGTGTCTCTCACAGCAGTTGACCTGCACACAGGTGAGTGGTGAGTAGGGTACTGCTGCCATACTGAGGATGGTGCTCCTGCTTTCCTCACCCTCTGACTGTGGGACCTCTGCGGCTGGGGACGCCAGCATGACATGACTTGCTGGTACATGAACAATGGGCACAGAGTATTTATTATCCTTCCCAGAGCCATTCACTGGGCTGTTGAGAGGCGCCTGTTCTCTCAGCCTCTCTGTTCCAAAGGCTGGACTCTGTTGTGGTGGTTTGTGCCAGCTGCTGTATTGTAAGAACAACATCTCAACAGCTTTTGAAACAGGAGCAGCAGTCACTAACTGTGAATGTTACTTCATACTGTCAGGGGTTGCACCTGCAATGCTTCCCAGTCATTTGTGTGTGTGTGTGCTAGGAGTGCCTGCTGTGACAAGAGGAGTGTTAAGGATTTATCATTTTAAAGTCATCAGGGAGAGCACTTACACTCACGAGTCTGTTTCTGTTGTCCAGGATTTTGCATAGTTCCTCTGAAAGCCTTCATTTCTGAACCCATAGATGGAGAAATTCATTATCAACTTGCCTCATGTAGGGTGGGGGTAAAGAGTGCCTGTACTTCTCTTGGAACATGGCAATGATCATCCTAATGCACTTTGAACCTTCCACACTCTTGAAGCTTGAAACATTTTTCCATTTTGGTGGTCACTGTTTCAGAGGCTCTAAAAAATGCATGTTTTCCCTTGGAACCAATCCTAGGATCCTGTACTCTGTATCTCGGATTGAGGCACTCGCGCCCTATTATCCAAAAACTGGGAGAGAAACAATGAGAGGTCTGAGGAAGATCTACTGTAGCTTTTGATTTCCAGTGTGGATGGAAGTATAGATGCACACATAGATAGAAAGCTTCTGTAGCAGCTGAGATATCTTAGCACCATTTCCCTCATCAGTAACCTTTAGCACAGGTTATTTAGACTATTAATGAAGCAGTTGCTTTCAGGTCAAAATGTAGGTGCCAAATGCATGTAGCTAGAGACAGTCATAAAGAAGTAGCTCCTGGAGAGAAGGAACCAGGCTAAGCCAGAGGTCACAACAACAATACAGTAGATAAAATTTATTTACTGTATTTATTCTGTAAATAAATTAAAAGCAAGAGATTAAAAATTGCTTCAGACAGAAAAGTGAATAACCCAGAAGTTGATGTATTTGTTACCTTTATGCTATTAAGTAGGTTAAAAGGGCTTTTTTTGGTGTAGTTGACTTTGGTTGGGGGTTGGGAGGCCAGAATAAAATGTATTTAAATAAGCTAAATGTATTTAAATAGGCTAAATGTATCTAAAGTGGCAAAGTCTGACTTGCATCACATTGTGCTAAAAACAGTAGCCAGAACAATGTTTAGCTGTTAATGATTCATTATTATGGAGCATTGGTGAGATCCCAGGGCTCTCAGGCTGTCTAACCTCTGCCTGTAGGTTAGGAGGAAAGATAGGCAGATCATCATCTGAAAGTATCTAATGTGTTTTTGATCTTTAAATGCTGATAAAGCTAGTGCTTCTGTATCAATTCTAGTTGTGTTAAGTCTTGCTCTTTTCATTGTCAGAAGTGACCTGAGCATACAAGAAGTGTAGGATTGCATGCCTCTGTTTGTGTGGGACATCTAACATTCCTGCATGTTTATCTTACAAGCAAACTGAGACACAGGAGTTTAAGATTAGCTATTCCAGGTCAAAGCAAAAGTCGATGTAGGTGCGTATTCCATCTCTGCCAGGGCCAGGACCAGGACCAGAGTCAAGAAGAGGACAGGAATAAGTCTTTTGTTCCAACTTCTCTCTTCACCTTGTCCTCCAGCAGCCTGCAGTGTGAGCCCTGTGTGTAGTTCTGGTCTCCTGAGGGGTATGGCAGAAAGTGGACCACGATGATCAGATGTATGAAATTGTCTCTGTGCAAGGAATCACTAAATAAGCCGCAACTCCAGCCTGGAGGATGTCTGACAGAGAGAAGTCCTCTTCGGCTGCTTGAAGCAAGAGCTGGAGTCAGTCCTCCTAAATCCTAATTTTATTATTCCTTCTATATGACCAAAAAAAACCCAACCGTTTCACCCAGGTTTGATTTGCTGTCCAGGCACTTGTCTGATTTCCATCTTGCCTTCTGTTGCCACGCTTCTGCTGTGAGCTTGGGCTTTGAGCAAGCACCTTTGTGTTAGACAGAATAGTCTTATCTCCAGTTGGTGGAACAGAATGGGACTGGTTTCATAGTTAGTGCTCCTAGAGCATGAAAGCTTCTCAAGTGCTTTGTGTTGAGTCCATCTCACTGTTACCTGTTTCAGTTAAGTCAGATTGCTCTTCTAAGACAGTAATATGCGTCCTCCAAACTTTATCCGCTGTTTGACCAGCAAAGAATAGAGCCCTTATGTATTGAAATCCAAGTATCATCAGCCTGGTCTTACTGTTGTAGCTTTGAACTGTGCTGAACCCAGGATATAGTTATTTAAAACTTCAGTTTTCCTTTGCCTTTTTGTTTTCTCCATAGGTAAAATTCCTCACCTTCCCATGACTTCGTAGGGGCAATGTTCTTCACATCTGTTGTCATAATTAAAAAATCCAAGTATTTTTTTCCAATGTTTTAGTAACGGCTTTGGAGGAATCCTACTGCAAATACAGCCTGCCTTAAATTATTGCAGACAGCATCAGGTAGTAATTCTTGGCCTTCAGTACAACTGCTTTCCTGACAAGGAACAGATTATGATGTTGCATTCCTGAAGTGGTAATTGCTGTATGTGATACTGTTTGAAGGGGAGATGAAGCATTTCCCCTCTAAACACCTAGTTAGTCACTTAAGTCTTCCTTAAAAAGAAACCCCCTCAGTGGTCTCCCCACACTCACACCAAATTCCACTGCAAATTCCACTGGGCTGTGACTGGAAAGAGGCCAGCAGCATATGGAGTAGAGCCACTCAACCAGCCTAGAGCTGTTGAGGAGAACACCCCCCCCCCCCCCATTATTTAGAAACCAAATCTTTGCCACCTCTATTTACACACGAGCTTGAATGTGCTGTGTGTTCTTCAAAAGAGGGAGAGGGGGATGTGAACAGAGTTGCAGCTGGTTGCATCACCATGGAACATCTTGGGGAGGCAAGTTGCAGCAAAGAAGGTTTTATGGGGAGTAGTTGCAATGCTGTGTTCAGAATTCAGCTGCTTTATGGTATTCAAATGTCTGTACAGATTTAAACACACAACAGTAAGCTTTGGATCACGAAAAAAGGATTCTCTGTGCCATCAACATGCTGATAAACGTGTTAACCTAAGGCACAAGAAAACCTGTCCTTGGGCCCAGGATGTTTGGGTGCATTTGTGCAGGCAGCTAGAATTACTTTCCAATATAACTCAAAATTGTGGGTATTGGGACTCGTTTGAAATGTGGAAATGCAATGAAGTACCTTGTGATGAGCGTTAATGTGACTGGTTTGTGGTGCTGATGGACTGTGAATGGCTGGCTGCTGCAAAGTACTTCCAGGAGCAGGGGCAATAAAAGCCTTTCAACCTAAAGTGCGTTTTAGTGAATATTTCCTAATAACTTGTCTTCTAGGGGAAATTCAGTGGAGACATTCCAGTGATTTTGGAACTAATTATACTGTGCTGACTCCTGTGTCAGTGATTCCAGATGTGGATAATGATGGAGTTCAGGACCTGATAATCTTCATTGCTACAGGAGATAAGGTACGTCACTCTGAAGCTGTGATAAGCCCAGTGGCTGGACCACGGGGCATGGCAGGAATGCTATTTATTTCAGTCTTGTAGTCTAAGAGGGGGTGTCCAGAGGCCTCTGCTCTCTGTGGGTTTGGGACAGGTTCTTTCCCACCCTGCAGAGATGAATCCAAACGCTCCCAAATCAATGTAAGTGATTTACAGTTAAAAAAGAAAGAAAGAAACAAGGAAAAAAAGCTGTCCAGGAATCCCTGCCCTTCCTCAGTGTGCTCTCCACTATGTGTTCCTGGGTTGTGTGTGAAATGAGCCTAGGCTAGATGAGCTTGCAGTTTTCTGGGACTCTGTTCAGAGTAGTGGAAGTGAACAAACCCTGACAGGTTTGGCTCTTAGATCAAAGCACAGCTGACAACCAGTGCTTTTGTACCACCACTGCCCTTTCCTCACACATTATCTCTGCCTGTGGTCTGCTTTGCAAAGCTCTCTTCCTAGTGTCACTGTGCCAGTTACTTCTGACTTGGGTCAGTGAAATAGCTGCCAGTTGTGTTACCTTCATATTTCCCATTTCTTAGAGGGGGAAAGTCATGTATCTAAAAGTGTTTTTACGCTAGAACATCTTTATCTGTGATTGAGTGGTACAGCATCACCTGCATGTGCAATCTGTCCTGTTTAAAGCATACAAAAGTTAGTCTCCCTGCAAGTCTGATGGGAGGAGTGGGAGCTCCGTGTCTTCGCACAAGAGTCCTCCATAAGCAAATAAGGTTTTGCTGTCCAAGGCATTGTTGCCAGCGTCATCAGAAATTCCATCCTCTTGACTCCTATGGTTCACTTCTGTTTTCTTTCTTCCTTGTTTTTGCTATCCCAGTTATCTCAAGACTTCTTTTTATTTTATTAATCTTAGGTGGCCCAGAAAGGTTTGAATGTAGTCTCTGTTCTGCAAACTGCCTTTTGATTTGTTTTCCAGTTAACCTCTCTAGCTATCTTGGTACAAAATCCCTTCCTCCTTCGGACTTGGCAAGCACTCTGCCAGCTTAAGTAAAAATATATTCTTTTTTGAGAAATCATGCAAAATGTAGGGAGCTTGAGTGGCGCTCTGCAGCTTGGAAAAAAGCAGCCTTGTCAGAAGGCAGATTCAGAATTTAAGTAAATTAGCTTTGTTGCTAAGAGGGGCTGAAGCTGAACTTTACTTCATACTGCTCTTCCCTGACATGGCAGAACTTTGAGAGGTGTGCAGGGGGTTTAGATGGCAACTTTTTCTGAGAGGGTTATTGACCTCTACCTGCTGCAAGCTTCAACACTAACATTTCCAGGAACATACAAGATTTTTTCAGGATACATTGCCTGTAACAGCACATAGAGGTATTAAGCACTGCAGTGAGTAAAGTGGTGTGTAGCTGCACTTGCTGTATGAATGCCTTTGGCTGTTGCTGTCCTGGGGCAGCTGCTGAGCTAGGGCTTGTAAGTAAAGGTGAAGCTGATCTACAAGAGCTGGTATGTGTCTCCTCCCAATGCAGGAGGCTGGGAACAGCTGGTGGATGCATTGCTCTCCCTCTCCAGCTGTGACTTTCATTCTCCTCAGCAAACTATTCCTTATTTACCTGCCAGACTCCCCAGCTACACTTCCAGAGCAACAGATCTTCCCTTTTCCATCCCTCCCTCTCAAGGACCAGAGAAGGGTTCCTCCCTGACTCAGCATCTCTGAATGATGCTATTTCTCTGGGTCTGATGTTTCTCTTTTCCCTAGTGTGTACTGCTCTCCACAGACCATGACTATTGCCCAGACATTTGAATCTGATCCTCATTTTAGCCTTAATTCTCATCGGTCAGATGTTTTTAGTGGATTTTGTTACCCTGTTAAAAGATTATAAAGAAACATGTCAGCTCTTTTATCCCCTTAGATTCATGTCAACCTTAAGAGGAGTAAATTAGGGCACTTAAAATATTTAGCAGAGCTACCATGTGAAGCCTAGTTTCCCCTGTGTCCATATGCTGGTATGTTTCTGCCTTTAGGTCCTCTCCATTGTTGTCACTGTTCAGTAGGCTTGAATAGTTCTTTGCTGTTCTTAGCAGAGCTGGGACTTGCTGTTGGGTGGTCCCAGCTTGCAGGGGAGGTGGTTGGCAGAGGTAGTAAAATCTCAGGGCAAGGGGATGTGCTGAAAGTGACTTCCAAACTTGAAAAAGGGATCATCTAACTCATGCCTATCTCCAAAACCTCCATCCCAGGCTATGCTGCTCCCACTCAGCTGCTATTCAGTACCAGCTGCTCAGAAGCTTTGTGAAACACTCAGGTTTGAGCAGTAGCAGTACTGTAACCTTTTTTTGTAGTCTTTAACCTTTTTTATTTTTTATTTTTTATCCCTTCCCTCTGTAGATTAAGACCTTCATCCATTCAGGAAAAAATGGCAAACAGATCGGCTCCACTGGAAGCCTGACTGTGGATGGGAAACCTCGTTATATCAGGCTGAACCTGGTCTCCTCCTCCTACTTTCTTTTCTATACAGGTACAGTTCTGTTTGTGAATTCAGTCTGAAAGCAGTAATTATAGCTGTGAAATGGGGATTCCTAAACAGTTTTCTGAAAGAGTGTTTTGCATTCTTAAAAGCTGTGTCGTGCTTTCACCTAGCAAAAGAGCTATTCAAGGCCAAGGGAAGAGGTGGCTTCTGCTTAAGCTAAGGTTTGTTACGCCTTGTAGTAATTTTATTTGAAAAAATGTTGAGAATGTAAGGTTTAAGTAGTCATTTCTAGCAAGTGATTACTGTGGAACACTTGGATTATGAACAGATAAGATGTTAAAAACATTCAAATGCAGGCTTGAGTCTCAAAATACCACTACAAGTCTATGATGCAAGTCCTAAAAATACAGTTGATCTGCCAGATCTGGAAAATTGTAGAGTTCAGAGGAAGGGCAGGACAACTTACCTCCTTCATTCTTGTTTTTTTTTTGCACAGAAAACTCTCTCTATGCGTATTCCCTGAAAGATCTCTACAGTGCAGCAACTGGGATGGAAATTAAGCTTCCCAGCCTTCAGCAAGATCCTCAGTGGGAGAAGAACATTGACAGCACTACGCACCGCTTGTCCCTTCTCAGGTGTGAGGTTGTTTTGGTTGCTGGTGGAGTGGAGGGTACTGGTGTTCCTGACAAGATGGCTTTGTTCTTTCATGGCTACATGGCTTTTGGACTAGGAGCACATCTGAAGCTCATGGAGAGTGCTGGTGTTGATGGCTTGGTCAGGGTTTCACAGGAAAGGAGAGAAAGCAGGCTGGGGTTTCCTATATGCATTTACTATGCAGGGAGAAAAAAAGCCAAACCAAGCCAAAAAACAAAACCCTCAATAAACCCATCCACAGTCTAGAAAGCATAATCATCCCTCTGTCCTTGTTCAGCTTTGGGGACATCCGTTACCTGGCAAAAATTCCTGGGCAGTCACAGGAGAACATCCTCGTTGCAAACTCGGACATGGCTACGCTGATCAATGCACACAATCTGCAGACTTTGTGGACCCTCAACGTGTCCCGTGTTGTGAGGTAGCGTTACCAGTGTGGGGTGGATGTGGCATTTTCAGGTTCCTTGCAACAGCAGAGTCCTGGCAGATACATTTTCATTTGGGACACAGGAATTATGTTATCTGCTTATCTAGACCATACTTACTGTGTTGTATGTCCTCTGCTAGCAAATGTCAGGTGCTGCTTCACAATGGAGGCACCCAAAGCTTTGATTCTTCATTCTGTGCCTGTTGTGATATGCCTAGGACTGGGCTTAGGGTTGGAGTGATACCAGGCTAACCTAATGTTGTGGCAGTCAAGTCTTCTACCAGGGGAGCTGTGGGAGGACAGAGGCTGCTCTGAAAGAGCAAGGTATGCCCAAGCCATCAGGGTGTGTTATGATCTGTCCCTTCTCTTTCTCTCCCTTAGTGAGCCGCTGCTTGGTTACTATAAACCTGATGTTCTTGGTATTGTCCTTGAGAGTGAAATTGGACCCAACAGGAAGAAGGTTTGAAATCTCTTCCCTTTAACTTCACTTTTCTCTGCATCTCACAGCTCGAGCAGGCATTGAGTTGAGGACAGCTGGTGGGATGTTCCCTCTGGCTGGTTTTAGGAAGCTTTAGGCAGGGAAAGGTTCTCTTTCAACAGGTTATTGAAGCTGGCTCAGGCACTTTAATTCTTTTTTCAGCAAGAGGCTTCAATGAAAGAGCTTTGAACCCCTTGAAATAGCTACAAAACTTTGACGTTGCTCTAACGTGGACTGCCCCAGCTCTCACAGCTCTGTGATGCTCAGCTTCAAGTATTTCATCAACTTCCCTTGAATCAGATGCTTGTTCCCATAGACTGTGTGGGGTGGAGACAGCTGACTCAATTTCTCTCTCATGGCTTGTCAGAGTTCTTTGGTATGAGTTCCTTTTCTTTCTTCCCTGCTAGGTTATGGTTGTTGAGAGTGGATCTGGAACAGTCCAGTGGAACCTGAAGCTAAACTCAAGAGCAGAGAGCCCTGGGCCAGCCACACTTCCTACTGCTGATCATCGGTCCACCTTCCTCATCTGGGGTGAATACCAGGTGCCAGGAAACGAAACGGTGAGTAGTGCTGCTGAATGGTTGCTGTTCCAGGCTTTGGGACAGAATTGGGTGGAGCTTCTCCCAGTGTTCCCATTTGCATTTGTCTGTGCCGCTAACACTGCAGCCTCTGCACTGGGTGTGGGGGCTCTGACCAGTCTGTCCTGCTTCAAGCAGGTAGACCTCTGCATGTGGTCTTGTCTCTGTGGGGCCCTCACAATGTCCATAGCAATGTCCCTGCTAACAGCTGGTAGTGGCAGCAGCACCTTTGTCATCCTCAGCCTGGCTATGTAAAGGGACTTAGCGTCATTACAAGCAAACTCACTGGATGCCCTGAGCCCTGCCTTGGTGTGGTACTGTAGGTGAGGTGAGAGGCTGCTGGCTTGGTACCTCAGTGGTTGCTGCTGTTTGGCCAGGAGCCTCTGGTGGCAGTACCACACACAGTGATCTCCCATGGCCATGTGAATATCCTCTCTGTGCACAACTCAGCTGGGTCACAAACAGCTCTCTAGGGCAGTGGCTGGCAACGTTAGTGACGGGTTGTGTTGGAGTATGCCATGTCTGAGCACCAGCTGAGCTTCCTGTGCTTCCCTGCTAACTCAACCAGCCCTAAGGCAAAAATCTGTCTCCTGCCTGTGGCAGGCAGGCCTGCTATTTACAGGGAGCTTGGGGCGGGGAGGAGAGCACTGAACAGTAAGCAGAATCCCAGCACTAGTTCTAGTGGCATCAGACAGGATAAGTACATGGACAGACATGGACAAGTAACTGGATTTATTCTGAGTAATAGCTGAGCCTTGTGCTGGTGGTGTCTCTCTGATAATTTATGGGTCCATGTCCTAATGGTGTCCTCTTGCAGAGATCCAAAGCTCCTCTCCAGAAGCTCTATCTTTTCCATCCCTCCTACACTAATGTCCTGTTGGAGCTCCGCAATAGCACAGACCAAATAATTGCATTCGATGGTAAGTCCTCTCCTTCCAGCCCTCCAGTGAGGAGGCACAGGGGGACACTTCTGGTACCTCCTGTACTCTGGGTGCGTGGTATTGGGTCTGGTGGCCACTGAGCACAGAGACCTGAGGCTGGGCTTTCCCTCTGCTCTGCATTACAGCCCTGCTGTTCGAGCGGAGCCGTCACGCCTGTTATGTGCTGCTGCAGGGCCCTCAGCCCAGCGAGGAGCCAGGGACGGTGTCCCTGATGAAGCGTAAGCTGAAGGAGGATGTGTCTGGGAGCAGGGTGATCTGGCTGAGCCAGGTGGCTGTGGACAGTGAGCAGTACATCCGGGACCGCCTCTACAGGATGCGATTCCAGAGCCGAGTGTGAGCTGGCCGAGGAGGGGGAGAGGCTGCCCAGGGCCGGGTGCCTCTGTGCTGCTTCTCCTCTGCAGCCGTGCTCTTGGCAAACCCAGATCATGGATTCAAATGGGAAGCTGCCTTTCTTGATCCACAAACCAAAGCATGACTGGTGGGGAAGCACCCCCAGTGTCTGGGGATGCCCAGGCCATGGGGGAGCTGCCAGTGCATCTGTCCTCAGAGCTGATGGGACTTCAGTGCTTGGCGACCACTGAAGTGCTGTCAGCTTGGGGAAGAGGGCTTTCCCCTCAATACTTCTGTGCCCACAGAACTGTGCTGACTCAGCCTGTGTCTGGAGGAAGGCATGTGCTTGCTGGGGATGCCGGAGTTGATTATTTCTTGGGTGCTTGTGTGAGAAGTGAAGCTTCGGTGTGTGGTGTTAGGTGTCCTTTCTGAGTCAGCTCTCCTGGCGTGGGAGAGGTGCTTGGCTGCAGGTTGGTTTGCAATCACCCTCTCCTGGATTTGGGCCCCTCCTTTGGTAGTCATGGGATGTGCATAGTGATAGACCCCAGCCATGGCGAGGTGTCACGGAGGCCAGCAAAGTGCAGGTTAAACTGTTCATTCTACTTAGAAAATGGCCTGTTCTCCTAAGAACAGCCCTGTGTGCCCTACTGTGCAGTCACAAACCTACCTGTGTCTGTCTCCTCTGCTGCTTCCTTTCCAGCCGGGCTGTGCAGTGTTGGTGACACAGAAAGGGAGCTGGTCTCTCACCTGATTCATGCATCAGTGTTCCTTCCTGCCCCAGGCTGGTTGGTCCCTGCTGGTTCAGACACCACCTCTCTTACTGGTTTTGAGGTGCCAGAGGATGTAGGACATTATTTTCAGAGTAGAATTGCATGTTAACCTTTTCTGGGAGCTGGGCTTGCCACTCTCAGAACCCTCTACCCCAGTGGCAGTGCCAGCTGCCCTGCAAGTACTCATTCAGTCTTGCAGCTGCTGAGGAGCCATCTCCAAGCACTGTCCCCTCTGCCAGGAGGTGGGCAAGCTGTAAGACTGCATGGGGAAACAGCACAAGTTCTCTTTGCAGCACAGCTCCAAAGAGAGCTCCGTGCCCTTGGAATTGAAGTGATGCTGGGTGAGGATCTTTGGGTGCTGTTCTCTCTGTCCAGCCTGGTAGCCTGAGGGAATGGAACAGGTTGCTGAGTAAAGGTGACATCTTCCCTGGAGACTTCTGTGGCTCAGTGTCTTTGCTTTTCCTGGTGGGGTCGGGTGTGGAATGTGGAAACAACAGCCTGGAAGGAAAGGTCTGAGTTGGCTGCGCAATCCTGGAAAGCTGCAGTCACCACATGAGCTGCTCTGAAACATGAGCCCTTCAGCTCTTCCAGTCCTGCAGTAAAACAAGCTGCAGCATCAGTGGTCTGCCTGGACGCTCACCTCCTGCTTCCAGCTGGTGTGAAGTGTGCCCTGACTCCCTCTGCCCTGTGATCCATATCTCAGGCAGTCAAGAGAGCCATGTGGAATGAGTTCTGCTGGCCTCTGCAGTCCTGCCTGTGCAGGAAGCTGGGGATGCTCCCTGGAGAGCACTCAGAACCTTCAGAGCACCCTGGACTCAAACTGGTGGGTTTTCCCTATGTTTCTCTCTGTCCAGGCTGTTCCGTGCGGAAACCTGGGGGTGCAGGGATGCTTTCCTGCTGTGTCCCCAAGCTTAGGTTGCCTCTTTGCTCAGCAGAATAAAGACCTGAAGTGCAGCAGCCTCACAGGTCCCTGTGCCAGCTTTGCAGGGATCACGGGGCTGTGCCAGTGCTGCACATCACGGGTTGTGAGGGCTGGATTCAGCCTGTCCTGGGGCAGAGCTGGGAGCATGGCTGCAGGAGCCCAAGGCTGAGTGCAGTCTGATCTGAGTGTTGGATGCAGATTGTATCCCACTGAAATTCCCTGGGGAGGGAGCAAGGAGCCCGGGCTGTATGCTCGCTGCAGTCACACTGTTGTGGCACTCTCCCTCCTCCCATCCCTACCTGGACCTGACCTTTCCCATAGGCACACTGAATGTTGCTTCAGGAAAGATGAATTTTCGGCTTTGGGAGGCTTTTCTGGCTTTAAGTTGTTCATTAATGTTTCCAGATAGTTTGGAAACGGAGATTTCCCTGTGGCAGCTCAATTAAACGCATCAGTGCCAAACCAGCACCTTCTTAACAAAACAAGTCCTTTTTCCAGCTTGTTTCTCAGTGTAATTGTTTCTTTGCAGTATTTAATGAATGACTTTGTGCCTTGATTCAATAACTCAGATGGGTGATGATGGCATATATCACTGTGTTACGTATTAGTGTGGTTTTTAACACTAAGACTGTTTGGTTTGGTTCTTTAACTTATTGCAAATTGTGCCCTGTAGGACTTGGTCTAACTGAATGGTTTCAATAAATCCTCTTTTGCATTGTTTGTAAATGGTGCCCTGCTTTTGGTGTGGCAGCTGAGGTTATGCAACACTTGGGATGTTCTGGCAGCCCTTTGTGTGACTTCCCCAAGGCAGAAACCCCTGTTTTGGGATGGATCCAGGTGTTCTGGTGATGCTTTGATGGCTGAGCTGGCCGTGGCTCTGCCCCAAGCCACCTCCTGCTGCCCTGTCCCACTGCCGGTAGGTGATGGACTGGGAGAAGGGACCATGCAGAAGGAAGCTGGAGTTAGATAACAGCTCAGGCAGCCCATCCCTGCCTCCTGCCTGGGGCTTGTGACCTGGTTTTACACCCCTGCTGCAGTTCATCAGCATGAAAATCTCATGCTGGGGTTTGGCTTTGGATCAAGCCGGAGGGAGCCGCATGGCAGGCACTGTCTCCTGGAGTGTGGGACCATCTGTCACTGCCCAGTGGCTGCCAGCACCAAGCTCCCAAGCTCCATCCTGTGACTGAGGCTCCTGCAGCTTCCCCTGCACCGAGGTCCCTCTGTCTGACCCCGCACTGAGCCATGAACTCCCCCCTGCTCCGTGCCAGGGGCCCCAAAATCTGTGGCAGGGAAGGATGCTGTAGTCCCGAGCATTCCCAGCACCCTGCTGTTCCTTAGCTGGGGTGCGGGCTGGCTCTGCTCAGTCCATTGTGGGCTGGGGATGCCCAGCAGGGGATGGGGTATGAGGCTGAGCACTGGTGGGCACCAGCCCCCCTCTCCTTTATGTAACTGCCAGCATTAATCCCTCACAGCTGTGGCTCGGCTCCAGGGAAGAGAATAATCCTGATGGAGATCCTTGGCCTCTGCTCAGATTAACGGGTTGTGGGCAGGCAGAGGCTCAGCTGCCAGCCCACAGCGCCACTGCAGCCGAGTTTGCTGACCCCTGGCACCTCTGGCCCCACACGAAGGGCCTTTTTGTCCACTCCATGGGCTGTACATGTGTGCACCAGGGGCAGCAGGGTGACTGAGTGTCTCAAGTGCTGGCTCAGCCATGCCAGGAGGGCAGTGAAGTTGACAATGGGTCTGGTTTTGCCCCTTGGCACAAACAGAGCCATGGTGGTGGCTGTGCCATGGGCACATATGAGTGGTACCCCCCTGCCTGGGGTCTGCACCCTTGCTGGGTGCTGCAGGCAGGGGAGGGTGCTGCTGCCAGCCCATGGCAGGAGACGAGACACAATCCAGCCCGGTTGCCACCATGTGTGCCCCCACCCTGCAGCTGGTCACCCCTCCACAAAACCATGGGAGCCACAGCTTTGCCCATGAGGGCTTTATTGTCTTGTACCGGGGGGTGGGAGGAGGGTGCAGGGTCCCCAAGGGGAAGAGGAGGGTGCAGGGATGTGAGCAGAGGGTACCGAGGGGGGACTATGGCTTCTCTCCTTCAGTGCTACTGCCCCACGGTGCTGCGGCGGGGCAGGGGGTGCTGGGCAGGGTCTGCAGCCACGCCGGCGGGTGCCGGGCCTGGGGGCTCCCGTGCTGGTGGGTCTGGGACTCTCAGCTCTCCTCCTCGGGGACGGGGTCCGCGGCGGGGCCGCGGCTCCGTTCCTCGGTGTCGCCCGCGGGCAGGAGCAGCGCCGGGCTGGGGCTGGAGTGCCGCGGTTTGCGCATGAAAGGGAAGACCCTGCGGGCACAGCAGGGTCAGTACTGGCAGCCACCACCCCAGCACCGACCGCGCCGGGGCCAGCCCTGCCCTCACCTCTTCTTGGTCTCCGGAGGGATGACGGCCTCGGCCAGGAGGTTCCTGTAGAGCTCCGACTTGAGGAAGCGCGGGTACGAGTCCTGGGCGGGCAGAGGTGTCAGGATCCTGCTCTGCCCTGCCCTGCCCTGCCTGCCCTCACCCACCTTCTTCATGAGCATGTAGATGTGCATCTGGGCATCGTCCATCACGTAGCGGTGGGGCGTCTTGATGCCCTCCAGTGTCCGCTCCATGGTCTTGCTGTCGATGTTCACCCAGCGAGTGGCCCCGGGAGCCAGGAACTGCCTGGGGGGTGCCCGGCCCCTGCACTGTGATGGCCTGACTCCCCCTCAAAACCTTGCCCCCCAAACCTTGCCCCACTGGCACTCACTGGTAGATGGAGTCCACAATCTCGTGGATGCGGGACTGCTCCCCATAGCGCAGCTCCTCACATGCCTCCCAGAAGCTCAGGTTCTCGGCTGGGGAGGGGGACATGGTGTTGGTGATGGGGTTGTGGTGCTGGGCACCCTCAAAGTCCACCGTGGCTGGGCACATGGCCCAGCAACCACCCCTGGGATGGAGCCAGCTGGTGTGAAGTGGTACAGGGGTGCTGGGACAGGTTAGCTGGGAGATGCTGGGATTGGGAGGTCAGGTGGGGGAGGGCAGGACAGAGCAATGGGTTGGTTTGGTGTCAGGATGGGATGGTGGATTAGGTGGTACTGGGACACGGTGGTGGGTCTGGGGGTGCTGGGATGGGAGGTTTGGGGTGCAGGGCTGGGGCTGCTCACCACTGAACTCCTTCTTGAGGAAGTCGAGGAGCTGCGCCCGGCCCAGGGGGTCCATAAGGAGCTCGCTGAAGTTGAAGCCCCAGCGCTCCACACGCAGCTTCGTGGGGGTCGGCACCCTGTGGGCAGCACCTCGTGGAGCTGGCAGGGGGCAGCCCATGGCTGCTGCATGACCCAGCACCTCATCCTGCAGGGTGGGGTACTGAGGAGCTGAGGGCTGGCAGCCCCCATGTGAGTGCTTACGTGGGGGCATTCATGGCCCAGTACGTGGTGTCGTCTGTGATCCAGGGGTTGCTGGGCAGGCAGCCAGACATGATGGGGTCGTGGGGCACGTACTGCTCATTGAACTTGATGTACCTGCCAGGACCAGCAGCTGGAGGTGGCCAGGGCCACTGGCTGCTGCTGCCACCAGCCCCAGCCACTGTGGGGTAGTGGCAGGGACACGGTGGGGATGTACTTTGTGATGACCACAGAGCCTCAGCTCCATTCCCTGCCGATGGCGATGGCAGTGTGGAAGCTGTGGCTGCAAGGATGTGGGTGCTCCCATCACACCAGCAAGGACCTGGCAGCCACCAGCCACTCACCCCTCGAGGCAGATGGAAGACTTCACCCTGGTCCTGGCCATGGCCTTCCTGAAGTACTCGATCTGGGGCCAGGAACAGGAGACACGTCAGGGGTGCTGTGCAGCTCATGTCCCCTGGGAGCAGCCTCCATCCCTTGCCCCACTCACCTCCCGCTTGTAGTAATCCATATTCTTGGTCTGCAAGGGATGTGCAGGGTCAGGTGAGGGCATGGTGGGGCTGGGACACTGTGCACTGCCCTTGCCACCCTGGGCAAGAACCCAAGCATCCAGCCCCCCTCCTCACCCCAGCACCCCACAGCCCATCCTTGTGGCCCCAGCCTCATCCCTGCA